TTAAATAAAGTTAATATTACCGACATTATTAACGTCCCTGTAGCTTCGTATTGCACTAAGAAGCTTATTGCACTGGATATATATATATATAAATATATATATATATATATATACAGTGCAATAATTATTTCATGCTAACTGAAGCTCTGTTGGCTATCACTAGATCCTGTTACAGCGTAATATAAGTACATAACGATTGATGTGTACATTAGCATCATTACTAGCTAGCCGCTAGCTGCTAACTGCCGCCTCGTTCATATCAAATCCATGATAACAACAATCCATTACCATGCTGTCATGAACGCGCGGTGCTGTTACGTGTACGCAAATTGACGTGCTTGATGTGAACGAGCATTTTGGTTAAAGTTGCGCATGCTCTATGAGTGCACATACGGGTACTTCTCAGGCATGCTGGGTAATCTGTGACGTTTCACTCTCTCAAAAGTTGGGCCATTTTATCATAATGCGCTAATGAGCAGCTCTCATAGGAATGAATGAGGCCCCGCCTCCCACGCTGTATCCAGTTCTTATTATACATCCATGGTCAGTACCAGATATGTTCGGGTTACCAGATATGTTCGGGTGTATTTCCGTCGCATCCGTCATCCGTCATATTCGTCTACTCACCTCCCTCTGCTCCCAGCGCTCCGCTGCCACACACCGGCCGTCTGCGGAACTGCAGCCGGAGGAACTCGGTACAGCTTGTTATGTGTGAACGATCTAGATCCCTCCGCTTCCCCATAATGGCCGCGAAATTTTCGTGTTATAATATTACTGCAATAATATTCCAGTGGTGGCTGCTTAAGGTTGTTTCTGGCTCGTTTGATCCAAACATTGTCCAAAGCTCAAAATGTATTGTAATAGATGTAAGAATTCTCAAAATGTACAATATGTTTTGATCCAACACAATATTCTGATTCAATCCATATGTGTTAGGGGTTTTTTTAAACAACATTTTCACCACAATAAATAGACTGCCTTCTCTCCAGCTCACCGCACACAAAGGGGGGGGAGCATCTGTATTAACGGGTCAGTCTATAAGCACTCTAACAGCACCATAAATTACATTTAAACAACCACAAAAAAACAATTATTGTTTCCGATATTGATTTAACGAGATGCTGTTATAACATGGAAACGGCTTAATTTAAAAAAAATAAGCTTCAAAAATGTTTTATGAAGCACACTGGGTACAGCCCTGTAATACATGAGTTCCGTGTGTATATAGTCTTACGCAAGAAACACATAGCATGAACAGACTGCAACAAAACCAGTCTTACAAAACAGACTTCTGCTAAACTGGTGCAGAAGCAAAGCATCTGCCTTAGATGAAGTTCACACAGAACTGTGGAAAAGGGAGAACATCTGTACTTGCTTTCAACGACATGATCAGGCTTATATATTATAAAAGTGTTGGCTAAAGTAACGCAGAATATATATATTTTTTAATTGTAAATAATTAGAAACATTATTTATGTGCACAAGTACACACACATAACAAGCTGTACCGAGTTCCTCCGGCTGCAGTTCCGCAGACGGCCGGTGTGTGGCAGCAGAGCGCTGGGAGCAGAGGGAGGTGAGTAGACGGATATGACGGATGCGACGGAAATACACCCGAACATATCTGGTAGCCCGAACATATCTGGTACTGACACCGGCTCCCGTCGTTCACTTAAAAGAGCCGGCTCGTTCGCGACCGACACATACAGCGCCACTTTCCGAACAGGAAATGCACGCAAATACAAGCCTTTATATTATTAAGGTACAGCGCCACTTTCCAAACCATTAATGAATGCTTGTGTACACAAAAACGGCAGACAACACCGTTTTAAATGTGTGTTTCCTGTATGGCGAATACAGCTGCTTTATTTATGTCTGTATGAAGTTGTTGTGAGTGTGGAGGGAGCAGCTACAGGTTAGCTTAGCCTAATCGATCAGTGCACTACGAAGCCAGTGCTAGACAGTGACCTGTTAACGAGCCCCGCCGGTCATTATCGGCCGATATTCACTCTTAATAGTTTGATCGGTGCTCTCTATAAAGGCCGATCAGGAGAGCTGGATCTGATCGATATGGACATAAACGCGAGTGAAGTATAACCGGACGCAAGAGAGAGATCAGATCAGCTGCTGAGTCTGATGGAGACACCTGCTCTGCATGATCACCTGATGCTCCGCCCTCTGTTTAGCGAGCTGACCGGACTGCGCAAAATGCGTATATGAAGTAATCTTACCCTCGTGGGGGCGCGCTCATGTGATTGGCTTAGAATGAAGGAGACATCTGATTGGCTATAGATAGAAACAATTACAAGTACGAATCGGCTGACCGTCAGGGGAGTCTCAAAAAACCCACACACGAATGCAAAGCGATCCGTGCACAGAAAGCTGTTTGTGTTTGCAGGTTCAGGAGATTTAAACGGGAAACTAATAAGTGAGGATTGAAAAGATTGAAAGAAACAGACTAAGAAATGACGTAAGCTCCATGATCAAAACTGCCAAAAAGAATTTCATCAATGTCAAAACTGAGGAAAACAAAAATAAACCCTGTGAACTTTGGAAATTACTCAATAACCAGCTTGGCTGCAGTAAAAAACTCAAAACGAGATTTTCTAACTTAAACATAAAGACAGATAACAGGCTCATCACAGACAAACTGGATGTGGCCAAGTACTTGAACATTTTTTTCACAAACATAGCCACAACTCTTGTAAATAAATTACCCTCCCACTGAGGGCTTTTTGGAGTAGATCACATCATGACCTACTACAAAAACCTAGGGGTACGCAAAGATGATTTCAGTCTAGCAAGGGTAACAACAACAGAGGTACTCATTAAACTGAGCGCCCTCCAACCTAACAAGGCCACTGGCCACGACAATATCCCCTCCAAATTCCTCAGAGACACAGCAACCGCCATCTCACCAGTCATAGCTCACATAATTAACCTCTCCATAAAACAGGGAAAAGTACCCAAAGACTTAAAAATTGCAAGAGTAACCCCCCTGCACAAAAAGGGCAGCAAATTGGACCCAGGCAACTACCGCCCTGTTTCTATACTTACCTCCATCTCGAAAATCATGGAAAAAATAGTATATGAACAGGTCGAAAAGTACCTCGCGGAAAAGAAACTAATCTATGAATTTCAATCTGGCTTTAGAACATCCCACTCCACGGACACATGCCTTCTTTATTTGAGCGACCACATCAAACAAGAGGTGGACGAGGGCAAATACTGCGGCATGGTGATGCTGGACCTACAAAAGGCTTTCGACACTGTCAATCACCCCATTCTGATTGACAAGCTAAAAGCAATTGGTTTTGATAAACTATCGGTGAGCTGGATGCAATCCTACCTGGAGGGGAGAGAACAGATGGTGGAGGTAAACGGTACTCTGTCCCCCCCCCCCCCTCCCAGTGGGCTGTGGTGTTCCACAAGGAAGCATATTAGGTCCGTTACTGTTCCTAATTTATGTAAATGACATGTCATCAGCATGTGACTGCAACTTTTTCCTGTTCGCGGACGACTCAGCCCTGCTGGTCTCTGACAGGAGCAGATTGCAGGTTGAAAAAACCCTCAGCTCCAAGCTCGGCAGAATCTGCACCTGGCTCGCCGATAATAAATTATCATTACACCTGGGTAAAACAGAGTCCATTCTCTTCGGTTCGAAACATAATCTCAGCAAATCCGACGACTTCTCAGTTGCAGTGGGCGACATTATTGTCACAAGTAAGAAGGAAATTACATACCTAGGATCTATTCTTGAGGCAAACCTCTCCTGTGACAAAATGGCATCCAATGTAATAAAAAAAGTCAATCAAAGAACTAGATTCCTATACCGGATCTCCTCTCTGGTAAACAAGAACACCCTGAAAACTCTGGCAGGAGCACTCATTCAAGGGCACTATGACTATGCTTGCACGTCATGGTACCATGACACCTCCAAGGCGCTAAAAATAAAACTTCAAACATCGCAAAATAAACTGGTCAGACTACTGCTTGACCTTTCATCTAGAACCCACCTCACCTCTGCCCACTTTGACAACCTAGGATGGCTTAGAGTAGACGACAGAGTACAGCTACTTGCAATGGGCCTGGTCTACAAGATCCACTACACCTCTATGGTACCCATGTACATGTCAAAATTCTTCCCAAAGGTCAAGGAATACCATGATCATAACACCAGAGGGAGCTCCACAAATCATGTGAAACCCAGATTTGGCACAAAAAAAGGGGGAATACACGTTTCGCAATTATGCCACATCAAGGTGGAACGCTCTTCCCACAACTGTAAAGGAAAGTAAAACTATACTTACCTTCAAAACCTCTCTTAAAGAGCACCTTCGGGGGAGAGCATTGCAAAACTGGCCCCGGTAATGGTACAAATCTCAACCTGTCGTTCAATGGACAGCTTCCCCCCCCCCCATCTATGTATATACTCGCATTTTAGACTCTGTTACTAACTGTATATCTGTAGACTTGGTATGTCTTAAATGTCCGGTTAGGATGTATTAGAACGAAATCTAAAATGAAAATTGTAAATAAGCAATCTGTATGTAAAAAACCACCTGTATGTAAATTGTAAATAAGCCATCTGTATGTCAAATATGTCTTATATGTCTTAAATGATATGATGAATTGGAAATGGGGGACCCTGATGTAAACAAGACGAAAGTCTTTCTCTGGTCTGCTTCCCCTAACAATTGTATGTTTTGAGTTGTACTGTACTGTACCCAATATACAAGCTGTTAATAAACTTTTCAATCAATCAATCAATCACGATCAAAAATACATATGTAAAACTTTTTTCTGTATTTGGATTTTGTTTACATGTATATGAAACGGAATACATTTGTGTGTGCTTTGAAAAACACAAGTATGGATCCGGAAATACAAGTTTGAATCCTTCTGTGTGCATGTGTGTATTATGAGACTGTTCTGAGCCCATATATAGACAAGGGCCATTTTAACCAGTAAGTACAAAATGATTAAAAAACAAACCATGCTAAATTCCAACAAACATTTATTTGTGAATTCTATGACAAACAGGAGGCAGTTTTAATATCTTGTTTTACAAGCTACATTGATTGGAAAAAACCAAAATCCCCAACCTTTTAAAAGTATTTTATCAACTTCAAAATGCACCTATGTACAGAAGAAATGCTCAAGTGTGGTCTATAAATGGAGAGCTACATACTTCCACAGCGACCTGGTTCAGATCAGCTGTTGACATTCAGCATTTCTCAAAGAAACAAAAGGATAGAGTACAAAACTGAAAACTCTTTTAACATTTCAATACAAGGGTGGAAATGTCCTTACTGTGTACTCGTTTTATTTGACTTTCATTGCATTCTCTTTTTATTCAAGAAACAAGAGTTATTAAAAAAAAGAGCAGGTTATATAATGCAAATATACAGGTCAGTCTCTAGATAATTGTTTAGCTAACATTATGAACAGCTAAAAATCTATTTACATATTCCCAAGATGTAATAATCATATGAATGGTATGGACACATGTTAAAAAGGCTGAAAAGGTACATGTTGCTTTTTTTAACAGGCTTACAGGGATAATAATGACATTCATGGTTTGTGCCATGCAACCTGTAAGAACTGATCCATCATTGGCTGGTGATGCTGTGTGAACGGTATAACTGTCTTTCATTGGCTGCAATGTTTTGTACTTATAACCTGAGGGGGAGGAGCAAATGTAACACCTGCCAGGCAGGTGAAAAGGCTGGAGAGGCAGAAACAGAACTGACCAATAGAGTGCCACAGTGACGCGTCCTAGAACCCGGAAGTAAGTTAGCATTTTACCACTTCCGGTTCCTTCGACAAAAACCAATGCAATTTCTCCATAGGAATTTGGAAAATAGCTTTGAAAAATGTTCTAATCATAAATCTATCGATTAGATTTATGATTCGAAAATTATAAAAGTAGGGTAGACATGTGGATATTATCCGGCTGAACAAAACGTGATCTGTCTCTTCAATTTGTGTCAACCACAGACCTTATTTCGAGCTATTTTCCAAAATCCTATGGAGAAATTGCATTGGTTTTTGTCGAAGGAACCGGAAGGAGTTTACTTCCGGGTTTTAGGATGCGTCACTGTGGCACTCTATGACATCAGAGTCAGAGAAAGATTTGAGTCTCATGCGGACTGCGCCACTACATCTTTATAGTAAATGCAGGAAAATTCATCTGTTATAGTAAACACCAGTTGGAGCTCTGAGGTGCATTTCCAGCTATGATATGTCACATCTGATGTTCTATAGGAGGACGTTCAATAACACAGACTAATTATAATCTGTTTTTACAAGTTAAAAAACTATTGTTCCATAGTGTTTTGCGCCTTATATGACATGAACCCAGCATCAAAACAACAGTGGCGGTTTCACCACAACCTGAACATTTGCTGGAACAGTCTAACATCATGAGTCAAAAATACAGGGCTTTGCTCCACTCTGCAATAACAGCAAAAGAATAAACAGTGGAGGTTGGCTAAAACATTTGACCAAAGCATAACCTCTATCCACATTTCAACAATTTGGAGGTCTGGTTACACAAAAATGAGGCAAAACTAATTCTAAAGCATAGCCTTCTGTTCTCCTCAATCTGAGATCCCTTATTGGCTTGCAACACATATTGTCCGTCAGAATGTATTTAGATGAGCAACCATTGAAGATTAATGTAAACACAGCAGTAATCACCTACTGCAAAACAATAAATAAAGACGATCTTAACTCCAGTTGTAATTAATCATCATCAAGTTTGTACTTAGATGTAGCAAAATATTTGCAGAAAAATAAGATTTTTAATTAACCAAGACATCTTTGTAGAGAAAAGGCACGAAGTGACCTTATCAATAACAGTGAGAATAAATAATAACAGTAATCAGGCCCCGGAACTGGAACCAAATATTTTAAAGATCAATGCACAATATATTAGAAGTTACATTTCTCTATCACTGATTAAATATTTGTACTGAAATGATAAATGATCAATATGTCACAATTGTTTAGGTGAATGATGACAACATTTCTCTAATAACTTTCATTGGGGTATTTTCTAAAATGGTAATTTTTTCCAGGTTTGTGCTTTTTCTTTGTTGGTATATTTCACATTAAGTCCCATTGATTGTTTTGATCAGCTATTGATCAATGGTTAATTGCTTCCTCCAGATTCATAATTGTATCTAAAAAGAAGGAATGGTGCAAAACCTAATATTAGAGCCATTATTGGACTGTCGGGCCACTCTATACTGTTGTCAGCTTCACAAGCTTTTTGGGGCTTTCGTTTCTACTGTATTCTGAGATTTTTGGCAAAGATCTGGTAGCCCAGATGGGTTGTATCTGATTTCTCTCTTATAATGACACTGAATAACTTCTTCTGAAAGTTATTGATAACATAGTGGTTAGCTTGACAGCTAAATGCTGTCTTGACATGCAGTTTGTCCTGTCATTTGTGGAAATAGCTTTAGCATTAGTTTCTAATTTTTGTCAAACATTTGAAATGTATCATTGCCAAAACTGATGTAAATTGTTTGTTTTGTAGTTTTTTGTACAAATTTTGACGTGTTCTTATGCTTATATTTTGTTATGTTTTGAAAGTTCTGCTTGTACACTACATATGGATCAGCTTTGTTGGTCATCTGGATTTTGGGTTAGGGTTAGTGTCTATTTCTGTGACAAGAAGCTTTTGAAGAAGTGAATGGTTTCAGTCGGTTGTTTTTCTACCATTAGTGAGGGCCACAGTGGAGACAGACAGCAGTATTTAGGCTGTGGGTTTTCCTCACTGTGTTATTTGCACTGTTACTGTAATGCCCCATTTTAAACTGCTGAATCATTGAATGGTGTTCAGAAAAGGAGAAATGCTGGACTTTAGCTTACCACAGACAGTGGAAGAGACATATTCAAATAGATCACAGCAGACTTTACAAAAAGTAGCACCATGATAACCAAATAGAAAGAATAGAAACATTAGCGTAATAAATCAGCAAAAGTATCCATATAAAATGAACAAAAAAATAATAATTTAATTTCCAGAAGTACAATAACCCCGTGGTATGAAAAAGACCATACATGTATACTTTATCCTCATTACCTGTAAACCATTAGGTCATCGCACCGTGGTACAGTACTTCATTGTAGCTTTAATACAGCATGATTGCAATTATGTGCAGAAAAACTATTTTACCCATTGAAAAAAACAACATGCTGGGTTTGTTTGTATGTCTTTACATGGAGTCCAGTTTGAATGTGGTAGGTAATCTGACAGGCACTTGCATTTCTGTTGATTGATTAGAAATATAACTACATGGATAACAAAGAGATAAGAGAATAAAATATGATTGTTTTCAGTTAACTGTATTTTTTTAGGGGTTTTAATTCACCAATGCCTTTTGTGTCTGTTCCCATGTTATATATTTGTCAGCCTTTTATTTCTTTCCCATATTTTCTTTTAAGAGTGCAGACAGCCTACTAAAGGCATATTGGATTTGACTGCCATGTAGGTAAAGAAGGACATACATTTACAATTTGAAAATACCTAATTAAATAAATCAAGTAAAGTAAAAAAACTTTCAGTGACTACTGGCTGCAGATGGACAGTCATAGCTCTTAGCTTTTTAACCAAGAATACATTATGACACTACATTTTCAAACTGCGAATATATTTCATATAGTAGGGGCGCCGTCTGTCTAGTACTAACACAAGGACAGTTGTGGGTGAGAGAAGATTGAAGAGGAAGTTTTAACTATCTCCTTACTAGACCTAGAAATGATGCACTGGTTCACCAGATTGCTGGAAATGTAATCATTAAATGCACATAAAGTAACACACACATCTGATAAAGACTGTTATAAAAGGAATGCATTGACTGAATTCTACTTGGACACTGTTTAGTTAACTTACGTTTCTAAACTATGGTATATTAGAATTTTGAATTTGGACACGCTTCATATCTGATCCCTGTAGCACAGATTGTAAGAATGCACACATAAAGTTGATGGATATCAAGTCGATATTATTATTGTTATTAAATAATTTCCCAATTATGTTAATATGATTCTAAAAGTCACATGTGACATGAATATGTAGTGTTCTTTTTCTACAGAAATGGAATACATTTAATTTTTTTGGTTTGGACTTGTGTAGCATAAACCAAAGAAATGTTTGAGGCACTCAAAAAAGTGATATTAGTGCATCTCTATCCAATGCCAAGCGAAATCTTGATTTACTAAATCACAGATTGGGTTTATGGTTAAACTTGCAGTCGATCAGAAAGTGTAACCAACTGTAATGTTGCTGTAGGACTGTATTTGTCAGATCATCAATGGTTACAAGAGGGATCTCAATATCTCAAAACATATAAAACCATCATTTTCCCAATCAACATCTGGAGTGTAACACGTTGGAAGAAATTATTCTTACATCTAAAAGATTGAAGCCATGGCTACAGTGCCACAAAACATCCCTGTATTTCTGGCCAAAGCTATTCTGGGAACACGTGGGAAAGTTAAAACTAAACCCGCCTGAGGAGCTTTGCTTTTTGTTAAGGTCTGTTACCAAACAACAATGTTAGGAAGTCCACTCAAATCAGCCTTTATAGAGCTTACAAGTCCAAAAATCCATCAACGATGTCCCAGTCTTATCATGCTGGGATTTGCAGTCAAATAGAAGTGGAGTTTGTCCTTTTATCAACTGTAATAGGAGAACATTTGAATACTAGTCTGCAACTGGATCAGATGCCTTCAAGAGGTGGCGTTTTTTAAGATACATTGGAGTCTCTTGCTGGAATGTTATTGTGCTAATCAATCAAAAAGGCTCAATTGATTCTCCCGGCCAAGCATGTGTGTTAATGCCAAGGGTCAGAGAGAAATCATTGGAGATATCCAGCACTTTTTCATTGCTTATCTATAACTCCGACATGGCTACTTTCCATGTTTTTTCCATTTTTATTTCCTGTCATTCTGTTAATTAGGGTTGGGGAGGTTAGTACATCCAGTCTTGACATCAGAATTTTACTTGAAAGACACTCATTTCATTTAGTTGAGTTCTTGTTGAGTTAAATGTGTCAGATTATAAATGTGTGTGTTTATGTGTTATGTCCTGCTGGTAGTTTTGTGATGGTTGGACCTGTTGCTGGGTTGGAATTTTGGTCCTCCCTGTCCTTGGCATCAGAAAATGTACAGTCCAAGACAAGTGAAATAATTGCCTGGGTTATGTGTTAGTTTGTTAGTGGATGTGGCAGTGGCTTTGTGGGGCAGTCTGTGCTAGAGGTGTGTATAATGTTTGGCAGTGCACCTGTCTGGCAGGTGGTTGGAGGTGTGTATGAGAAAAAGTGGGATTTTATGGCAGTGGTGAACAGTGTTTGTGAAGAATCAGGATGATTGTGCGTGTGTGTGGTCTTTAGATGTGGCAGTAGGAGTGACATCACTCGTTGCAGGTGTCACTCTTCTCCTCTGGTGCTGCAGGAGACTCTTGTGGGCGGTGCTTGCACTGGCCGAGCGAATGGCGGGTTGTTGGTCTCGATGGTCGAGCGGAGCAGGAAGATTGGGCAGCACAGTCACAAGGTGCATCCTGGGAAATGGAAAGGTTTGACTGAGCTTTAAAAAAGGAAGAACCACACCACTGGGATTGATGACAATATTATATATAATTGTTGGGCGCAATGATGATGTTGACAGTAGGCTTACAAATTACACTGCTATTTCTCCTATACAGTCAAATTATTGCAAGTAGTATTTTTAATATGTTTGATATTTAAGACTCAAATTGGGGATAATCATGTAACATCAAGATAAATAATAAATACAAAACTAGCTGTGGAAGAGTCAAATTAAATATCATAGTGTACAAAAGTGAATGGAACCTATTGGCATTTTAATGGAAATCAGAACAAATTTGAGAACTTTAAAGTGCACCTATCATGCTATTTTTAGGAAAGCATAGGTGTCAGATATATAAAAATATATAAAAAATATGTCTATGAAGTGTTTTGCTCAAAATACCAAACAGATCACCCATTCTAGCCATGCCTCATATCCCTTTATTTCACTTCCTGTTTCAAAAGTGCTGATTTTGGGTATAAAGCTTAAAAAAATTAAAATTGATTTTTAAAAAAAAGGAGGGGGCTGAGCTCATGCGGGACCCGGCAGCTACTGTCTAAACTAAATACTGCCGTGATGAAACGCCATATCATGGATTATCAAGGATTATTTCTGAAACAGTCTGGAGCTCAAAGGCTTTCTCTCTTGCCGGTTACACCACAAGGTGAGTTCCTTTTTATTTCCTGCTTCTTCACACACATGCTCTCCAGTACAGGTTAGCTCTGAGTGTTAGCGATGCTAATGTCAACACCGACTATATTACGTCCAAAACAGTTGGGCATTGTTTTTGATAGCAACTTTCTGATAGTGCCGTGTGTCTGCATTGCCGATATGACGTCATATCGGATGCCCATCTGGATCAGCTCCGTTGTACCCCCGTTGTTAGCTACGCTACGTGAGTTCCCTGACACACCAGGGACACATATTTATGTATAAAAGACATAAAAAAGTGCATTTTGCACGATAGGTCCCCTTTAAAGCATGGTTTTCAGAAAAACGTTTTTTGTTTAGTGGAACAGTAGGAAGAATACACACAAATGATTAAAACCTATACCAGTCCTTTGCAAATAAAGAGCTGTAATGTTAAGTAAATGGTATTTTCTGAAAGAAGCAAAACCAATGTTATGGTCAGTTTAAAACATAAGCGCATTTCAAACGGCCTCACCTCCGTCACAGTTCCTGCAGCCCCTGTGTTGCTCATCAGTTCCTTTCCTCCTCCCATGATATTGATCATCTCCTCCCCGGTTGACTGTCTCATAAACCTCTTATTGACGATCCGGGTCACATTGTCGTTGCTTCCGTTCAGCGCAGCGATTCCTCCAACCCCGGCCGACACGCACTCTGGTTTAGGTTCATCAATGCCGCCAAAACTACACAAGACACTCGGACCTCCGAGACTGCCATTGGAGTCTCTCAGTGGTCTCTCCCCAGGCAGGGTGACTGCTCCCTGGCCACGGCTGCTGCAGACATTCCTGAAGAACTCCTGGACCAGGCCTCCGTACCGCTGAGGGCCGGGGTCACATGTAGAGACTGGCACAGCAGTGGGTTTCCCCGCTGCAGCAGGCTGCCGTGCTGGACTGGCTCCCTGGCTGGCTCCTAAATGAAAACACGGATCCAAGGCAGGTATTATAATTATTTTCATAAATGATGATTAACAAGACACATTTCATTCTGGAGGCATGCTTGTGCTGTCAACAGCATTACATAGAGAATAGAGACTTTAGATGTCAAAGCAAGGTTGGGAATTTTGTACTCATGCAGTCATGGTTTTATTTGTCTCATCTGTGCTTTGCATTAGATAGTTCACTTTAATCTTACCTCCATCCCCCCTCCAGAGCGACTCTGTGCTTCCAGTGTGCTCCACCAAGCTGAAGAGGCTAGAGAGGCCATCATTCAGGCCGTTCAGCACGGGGCTGTCCCGGGTGGTGGTGGAGCGAGCCCAGGCAGAGCCTCCGCCTCCACTCAGGGATCTCTGCTGGAGGCTCCACAGGCTGCGGTCCCTGGAGGAGGTACTCCCATCCAGTCTGGAAGTGGAGCCTAAAAACACAACAGATGGATGTCTCTTTCTCTCAAACAAAAGTATTAACATGGAAGATCTATGAAGCATATCAATGGTGATTCAATAATTGTGATTAAAGGCTCTCTGACTCTAAAACCAAAGCTTAGAGGACAACGTGTAATTACCAGTAGACACTCTGCGTTGTAGTTTCGGGGATCCATACTTTGGTGAACAGCATGGTCTATCGATGCGGCTGTGAACTTTATCCAGGGAGGTGGATATCTGCCGGGTTCTGGCGGATGCTAGCGAGTTGGTTGTCGGCAAGGGGCGAGGAGACCAGGATTTGGAGTGTAAACCCACCACTCTGCTGCCTGGAAGGATGTCGGTTTGAAGCCCGATGTTTACGTACTGTGTGGCAGTCTGCGTGGACCGGGTGGACATGCCCATCACCTGGAGGGAGAAATGAAAACGGGGGAGAATGTTAGGCGTTGAGACAACAAAGAACCGCTATTGAAGAGAAATTATTCAGAATATGATGATTTCTCCTTAAACGTACACTAGATAATTTCAGGTATTAGTATGCTGCAAAATCTTCTAATTACTTAGTGACATCTGACAGTGTTGTTGCATATTTTAAAGACGTTTCCAGTATTCTTTTTACAAACTAATGTAACCAGGTTGTAAATAACATATTGCCCTAAAAAAATTGCAATCAAATAAAATACAAATAAACTTTTAGGGTAAAGGAACGATTGAGATGTATTCAAATGTGATTACTAGAAATCTTACTTTAGTCATTGTTTATACATCACATCATTCCACTACTTTACAGTCCAAATAAGTACTTACAAATATATCCTAATAGACGGAAAAAAAAACTTTAATATACCTTTATAAATGTTTAGAAAAAGCAATGTTTCAACAGATTTTTGTTGGATTAAAAAAACTGAGTTATTTTCTACTAAAAAGAGGAAACTACCTGGCTTCCGGGTTCCTTGGTGGATTTCCTCTCCAGAGAGGACGAGCGAATGGCCTGGCGGACACAGTTGGTCATCTCCTTCATGTCATCACTCAAGTTGGCTGAAATCTCCCCGATCTCCAGACCATGGAAAGCTGACGAGGGTGTCATTCCATCAACTGAGCTACTGTTGCTGGGGATCGAACCGGCGATAGAGCCACTTCTGCTCTCCAGCAGCTCCCTGTGCTGCTTGGACAGCGAGCTCAGCCACTGCTCATAGGAGGACGAGAAGGAGGGTGACGGTTGTTGCTGCTGAATCTCAACGGTTTCCTCCGGAGCCATGCCTACATCCGGGCCCGCCAGTCCCAGGTCAGCGCTCCCGTTCTGGGCCTGCTGAGGCTCTGTGGCCTCCTGGCTCCTCCGGTGGTGCTCCATGCGTCGTACAGCAGGGGGGCTGTAGTAGATCCGGATGCCGGTGCGGTCCGGGGCCGTGTGGCTCCTCTGGACCGACTCCAGATCCAGCTCTGATCCCACCAAGCTGCTGCAGGAGCCGCTGGGGCCGTCCCAGGTCTTACAGGTGTCCCCAACCTCCGGGGTCTGGAGCAGGGACAAAAGGGAATGGGATAAAATCATTATAATTTGGAATATGCAGTCTTTATAAGGGATGGGGACGATATTGCAACTATTTTAGCTAAGTTAATTAGCTTTAATAATGAATGTCTCAATGTTATATATGAGTATATGGTTTACAAATGAATATTTTTTGATATGATATAAAATGTAATCAATCTTTGTTTTACTTGTGTTGTTTAATATATAGAAGTAAAGAAATACAAACAAAAACTCAACATTTAAAATGAAATCATTCACCTCATTGGTCAGGTAGGTCCAATTCTTCCTGGTGAGGTCACCAAGCGAAGGGACTACAAACTGGATCCTCTGCTCCTGATTGGCTGATCCGTCGACTTCTGCACCGGCAAGCTCTGATGTGGATTTGGCTCTTTTGATTGTAAAGAGTAAGAAGGAGTTTATGAGAAAAGAGAAGCAATGTCACATACAACACAATAATTATAACACTATTTGAGAAATGTTCTGATTTCTTCCACATGATAGGGGTTCATTTTGACCTAAGTAATGTAAGGTCTTGTTGGTAATTGTTACCTTGGTGATCCTGTTCCATTAGTGACTCCTGTGTCTGCAGAGGACTCGCCGCCTAATGACTTTGACTGAGAAGACAAAAGAAAAAACACTCAGTAAAAAGGAAACCACAGCAATACTTAAGTAGCTTATTAGCAAAGTAAAAGGCCTGCATCATTTGTACAAATTGTTCTTGTAGCATTTTGCCTTCCTACACACACGCTGGAAGACATCCACTGTGGACACATTCCTTACGTTGCCCTCCACTTCCTCTAAAGCTGTGTTGGCAGGAGGAAGTGGAGACTGTCTAGTATAATCTGTGGTAGTCAGATAGCATGCAAACACACACAGACACACACATACAGTACACAGAGATAGTGATGCTGAGTCAGTGCCTTTCACACTTGAGGTGATCTCTTTGAAACCATTTCCCCTCAGAGGAAAGAGACAGTGTGAGAGTGGAGAGGGGGAAAGGACATCTGCAGATAACGTGCTTAGTTGTGCACATAAACTTTCACCTGCAATCCTCCTCCAAAGCTAACTTTACTGTAGTTCAGTGATTCTCAAACAGAGGTGCTCTTACCCAAGGGGGCACTTCTGCATTTGCAAGGGGGCACATGGGAAGAATATGGAATAGCTCAACTAATTTTGAACAAATATATGCACATATTAAGTCAGTTGCAACACCTGAAGACAATAATGTAGTCAACAAGCAGAGAAGGCTAAGCAGTTGGTTAATAGAGGTTGTTTACAATAGGGAGCTAAGAGCAATGGATACATGTTGACGCTGATTTTGAGTCATGGATTATGAGACACGTGAATTTAGAGACCGAAGCCTCCACAGTCACATGCATTCCGGGGGCCAGAGCGGGCGACGTTGAGGCGCATCTTAAACTGCTGGCTAAAAATAAACGTAAATACAGTAGGATTGTTATTCACGTCGGTGGTAATGATGTTCGTTTACGCCGATCAGAATGCACCAAACTTAATGTGGAGTCGGTGTGTAGTTATGCTAAAACAATGTCGGACACGATGTGAGGGTCTAAGGACAGAGGGTGTCGTATTGTCATACTGATATTCTGAACAAACTGTGAAGACCACTGAGACAAATGTAACATTTGCGATATTGGGCTATATAAATAAACATTGATTGATTGATTGATTGATGGATAAACAATTCAAATCTAAAACAGTTAAAGAAATGGACACGTGGTGGGATCAATTAGCTAAAAGTAATGAATAAATGGTTCAAATGTTTGCTTGAAAGTGTTATTTAAATAGTGCAAATGATTATTTAAAAATCATGGATAGATTGTTGAATTTATTTTTACAAAAATGAAAAATAATTGATGGAAATGGTTCAGATACAAATGCAAACTTAACCATTCCTATCTAAAAACCGACAGTTTAATTGCATACAATATTTGAATAATCTCTTCTCATAAATAATAAAGGGTGTTAAATAATATTAATTTGAACACAGTTAGTTGGTTAAGCTTTATGTGCTCGACGTAGAAGTAGAAAACGTATACCAATCTACACTAACATCCCATTTCATCAAAAATAAAACATTCAATTAAAAATAAAATTAACAAAATGGATTTATAAGTAAACATCTGATAAGTCAATATCAATAGCAATGTCTAACTAACTTTAAAAACAAATGCAGCTACTTCTACACTAATAGCCCTGATGAGGGCACTATAACAGCATGTCAGATGTATTTGCTTGGCTTCAGTATAACATACAAGAAGCGTAGATAGTATATCAGATTTGCGGGTGACAGAGCGTGACCCAGACACACTCAGAGAGACTGAGACAGAGTGAATTAAACCATGACGAGCTTCATCCTCATAGCAGTTTCCAGTGCAGGACAATAAATGGAAGGAGTGAGACGGGATTCAGTCAACACACAGGAGGAAGGAAAAGGAGGGTAAACAAGGCAGGACAAAGACGGCCACAGACCGAAAACCTCAAATGCAGCAGACAGGGGAGAAATGATGGAGGAGCTCTGACCTACTAACTGTGTATCTGAATTTCTGTGTGTATTTATGGACGAACCCACTGACTAACGACCACTTTAAACACTGATGTAACCCTCTTCCTCCCTACCAGACATGCAGCAGCTTGGCAGTGACTGCGCTGTGCGTGTATAATCAGCAGATCAGACTGACCATGTTTTCCTGGTGACCTCAACTTAATAATAAACATGCTCACATTATGGCATTAACAGCTGTGGTTACTGTTGACGTCAGCAAAGTATCCTGAGAGGAAAACACCACCCTAACACAGCAGTTACATGCATTTTTTGTCTTTTTCTTACATTATTATAACCATAGTGGTGATACAGCCACAAATACATGTACAAAGAAGTTTCCAGCAAATAATCTGCATTAAATGTCAGGTTTTGTGTTACTCCCTCAAAATCAGATTTTTTTTTTATTCAACTGCTGTTGTTATTTACAAAACTATGTCCAGCGTTCTTATAGCATATTAAAATAGTTTTGAAAAAGGGATATGAAGCTTTTTCGCAACAGCAAAAAGTGACTGCCTTGCTCTAAGGTGTAACTAGTGTATTTTAATGCTCTTATATTAAAATACATTAGCAGCTGTGCTTCTACACATACTGGTGAGGATGAAATGTCCAGTTTGAGAAATAGATCAATGGGTTTGAAGTTTTGAAAAAACTAGGAAACCTTTTTTTTATCTTGAGACTTCTCTTCATCATTTTATCTTGATGTTTTATTGTTTAAAAGAAAGTCTTATTGTCTAGAAATTAAGTAGCTCACAAATACAATGTATCTAAATATAGAAAATAAAAAGTATTGCATATTGCGTACAATTTATTTCGAAACCAGAGGGTGTGTATACAGGGTTCAGATTATGTTGGTTTGAAATGACAAAAACATTTGAAAGAAAACAGGCGTAAGAGTTTATTGGCCATATTGCGTAAATGTTACTACAATAGAGGTCATGCATCTAATGGGAGCATACCCAAATTCCATTAAAAATTGCGTTATGATTTGACTGAGTTCTGGTGGTGTAAGATTTATGATTTGACTGAGTTCTGGTGGTGTAAGATTTGTGGCAATGTAACTGGGGGGAAGGCAAATATTACACCTGCTGTTTTTCTTGAATATATTTGAATGTGCTTAGCTGACCAATGCTTCATTTCCCATGTTTTTATAGCCTTCTTGCAATAGCTATGGCTTTCCAACCATTTTTGGTTTTGTTTAATATTAATATAATTCCAGAGAAATCTGTGAAACCTTTAGATGACTTTAGATGTAGAAAGAAACTCAACTAATTCAAGAACTCATGTCTTTCTTATCTCAGACACACACCCCCTCCTTTCAGATTGCATCATCAAAAATCTTCTTCTTTTTTTTATATAAATGTTTTGAAAACGTCTCGGGAGTAATGTGCAGTACCGGAGTCCACCAGAGAGGCAGCCACTGTGGGACATTAGCCTGCGTACTGCGTAGCCTGCCCTGAAGAAGAAGTGATCCTTCCTAGTGCCTGACGAGTTTTAAGCTAATAGCCTACAGTTATGGATATTAGAAAGTTATTGTCATTGAAGCAGCCGGCGCCACAAGCTGCAGCAGCAGCAGTATCAGCAGCTGACAACAATGTCATCACCAGCAGTCAAGAAATGGATGATGTTTCAGGTTTGTTAATCTAATGGTGATATCTGCACTCTGGCTGACTGAGTAAGAAGTGAAAAAGAGTGATGTAACATTAATGTTATAGCTAGTAAACATGGAGTAACCACACTAACGGCCCCTACACACGGCGGCGTGCGTTGAAGCTTCCAACGCTTCTGCCCATTCACTTTGAATGGGGTGACGTCACTTTTAGCCGAACTGCATTTTGGGAAGCGACGTGGAGCGTTGCTGGCGTAGCTGGCGTCAAAAGTTGAGCAATGTTCAACTTTTAACGCCTCGACGGAGGCGTCAGCCAATGAAATCCCGTGTATTCAAATCTGCCAGTACAATCGCTAGCCAATCAAACCGCGTGTATGCTGGGAGAGACTGCGCAGGTCATTTCCTCATATTCAAACAAATTGAGGGAAAATTCATTGTAGCGGTAGTGAATCACCCGGTGTTGTATGATCAGTCTCTGTTCATCTACCGGGATACAAACCGGAGTTGCGAGGCATGGAGGGAGGAGGCAGAGACAGTGGGTGAAACTGGTAGGTTTTCGCCTGTTTGGGGATTTTATATCCAGTTTACTTCGTTTTAACATTGCTATTGCTTTGTATGTCGGGGCCGGGAGATTCATGTGATTGGTTGTTGGTCGTGTTGCTCGCAAAAAATCCCCAAGCTTCAGATACGCCCACCTCCAAGCGTCAACGCACGCTGCTGTGTGGACGCTCCGTAACGGCCCCTACACACGGCGGCGTGCGTTACCGCTTGGCGGTGGGCGTGTCTGAAGCTTGGGGATTTTTTACGAACAACGCGACCAACAACCAATCACATGAATGTCCCGCCCCGGACATACAAAGCAAAGCATTCATGCTACATCCATGCTGGCTAAATATACTGTCTATGCTTGCTAGCTGTCCATTCAAACGAAGTACACTGGCTATAAACTCCCCAAACAGGCGAAAACCTACCAGTTTCACCCACTGTCTCTGCCACCTCCCCCCATGCCTGGCTCCTCCGGTTTGTATCCCTGTATGTAAAGAGGGACTGGTCATATAGTACCGGGTGATTCCCTAACGCCACGATAATTTCCTCCTCCATTTTTTAACATATGGGAAATAACTGCGGTCTGGCTCTCCCAACATACACGCGGTTTGATTGGCTAGCGCTTGTGCTGTCAGATTTGCATACGCGGGATTTGATTGGCTGACGCCTCCGTCGAGGCGGCAAAAGTAGAACATTGCTCTACTTTTGCAGCGAGCACCGCGAGAGAAGCTACGCTTTGCTCCCACAATGCAGTTCGGCGAATCGTGACGTCACCCCATTCAAAGTGAATGGGCAGAAGCGTTGAAGCGGCAACGCACGCCGCCGTGTGTAGGGGCCGTAAGTATACCCTTATATGTTAGTATGTATATAGAACATGACTAAAAATTATCCTAAGATGTAACGTTAACCCTTCATAACTCAGTCTACTTTTAAGACACTAAAATAACGTATTCCAATTTTTATTTTGTTTTCACGCATGGAATTATACCGGCTCTCGTTTCAGTACACATAACAACAGAACTGACAGGCAACCCTCTGAATCAGACTCCGATTGGCTGTGACTGCATCCACTCAGAGTGTCCGATTCAGAAACGTGACTCTTACACTCTTTACGTCACAAACAAAGATGGTGGATGAGAATAGATCTATAAAACGATAAGCAATGCGCCAGAATCAAGGTGAGACTATCCGCATCCTTTAAAACTCTACGCACATTCGTTTCACCTTAATAAGTAAACGACTATTTGAGTGAGTTAAGGCATTAGTTTGCTTCATTAAAGGGTGTTAATGAGTGTTCTCCAGTGCCTTTTGTCCGCTTTAAGGTGTTATTAAGGTAGGGTTAATGTTGCTCTCAAAGTGCACCAGATTGATGCTTTCAACTTCAATATTTAAAAAAAACTCTTCTACTTGTAAAAAATAGCACTGTACCCCTGCACCCCCCCCCAACCCAACGACTCCTGGGCTAAGCCCCGGATCTCCTACAATCCTAAATCCGCCTCTGCTGTCGTACCTTCCCCTGCTGTGCCGTGGCCTCTAGCAGCCTCTGCTCCCACTGAGCTCTCTCCTGGCTCAGCCTCTCCAGCAGCTCCAGCTTCTCTCTGCCCCAGTTCCTCTCCCCGAGCTGAAGCTGTAGGTCCGCAGGTGGGTCACAGCAGAGAGACAAGCATTAGAAGAGACAAGCATTAGAGGAGACAATAACATGGATGTGGAGCGCAAACCACCAGAATATGAATTTAAACAGTACAATGATGTCAAGTAAATCATTAAACAAGGGTCTTTCAAGTTTTTTAAGCTTGAAGGTTAACAGAGGTAGATTAACAATTAGTGTGAAATTCTTCATCTACCTATTTATACCACTTATGCCCTTCTGTTTGTTTAGTTTGAGAAAAAGGCCTGTTGCCTTCCAACCCCCCCACACACTAACCTGCTTGGTTAGGTCCATCACAGCTGCGTAGGAGTCGGCCAGGAGGTGCTGGTGCTCTTCACACTCCCTCTTCAGCGCCACCTTCAGGTCTGGAGGATCTGGAGCATCTGTGGCGGACAGAGCCTTGCCTGCTTTGGTCTCAAGCTGAAGAGGAAAGATTTACAGAACATGGTAAATATAAAAATCCCATCCATTTTCAGTTCCATTTTTAGTATGTGGAGTCTGTAAATTGATATATTTTTTTCTTTCAGCAAAATTAAAACTATTTTTAACTAGATAATAATAATATGTTAATTTATTATAGCACCTTTCACAGAAATAGATTTCACACAGTGCTTCACAAGTACAAAGTTAAAATTAAGACCACAGAAACATGAATACCACATGAGGCATACATTTAAGGTCAACATAACAACAAAACACTGACCACGTGGTGTCCTGAAATGAACAAACATAATAACAGGACACATCACACACATTTCAAAAAGAAATAAAAGCCAATGTAAAAAGATACATGAGATGTTTTATAAATCTGAATTGAAGTTCAGAGGGGCGTGGCCAGCAGCAGGGCATTAGCATTTAAAGCTACAGGCACAGAATCAGCACTTTTGAAACAGAGGGGTATACGGCATGCTACAGTGCATGATCTGTTTGGTATTTTGAGCAAACAACTTCAGAGACATGTTTTGTATATCTGAGACCTATAATATATTGTTGAAAAAGAGTATGATAGGGGACCTTTAAATCTAAAAATGTGGTATTAAAAAAACAGTTTTCTTGATAAAAACGTGTTGGAAGCGCCATATGATGTTTCTCTGTCAAACTTTAATAATATATTAGTTATCTTAATGCATTAACAAATACAGTAATACAAATATACAGACAAAAGTAATGCAATACAATAAAGAATGCATTGTCAGTTACAAGTTAAATAAAATGAACAAAAAAAGTCATAAAAACATTGAATGAAGTAAAGTTCCCCAAAATGTTGATGCGATGCCCTTATTTTTCTCATCAAAGAGCTTTTAGTTAAAATAATTTAGCACAGACACAGAAACACTCACTCACAGAAATAATTGCTATTTGTCATGAATACAACTCTCCCCTCCTCTCCATAAATCTGGCCCTGTTGTCACAGACTCTGTAGGTGGGACCGCTTAATATTTTTACGAGCAGCTCTTTTTTGCCTTATTCCTCCGTCTGATCTTGATAGTTCACACAGCCCACACAACCAGGCCCATCCATTTGACACACACACACACACACACACACACACACACACACACACACACACACACACACACACACACACACACACACACACACACACACACACACACACACACACACACACACACACACACGACCCATCAATCCTCCCTCTCAGTCTGGCTCTGTGGCGGTGGCGTCCGTATGTAGTGAAGGAACGCTAGGATATGCTAATGTGACTGTCTGGCAGCCAATCACAGCGTAACAGACGCACACACTCCAAACCCCCGTTTCCTATAGCAACAGAGCGTTGTTCGTTAGTGATGAACGTGACTTAACGAGCCCAATGTCTTAACGAGGTTCACTGCTGAGGCGGTAAGAGGGAGGCTTTTATTGGTGGATGAGACGTCTGGTTCATGACTCGCAACTCGGTTATTAAATTCAATCACTTCTATTTAAACGAGTAAAGCCATGAATATAAAAGCATGGATTTATGAATTATGTTTTACTAGAATAATCACAAAAGGGACTTCTGGGCATGGTTAGTAAGTATAACAAAGACAAAGAGCCATTGACAAAAAAAGAGACAACAAACTTGACTCTTTCTGTGTGGGAGGTCGAAAGATATAAGTACATTTGACTATAATTAGATCCTTTGATTATAATAAAAATTCAAGAGTGGACAAAAACAATGATTCTGCCATCATGTTTCAAGGACTGTCACTGTTTTGTAGAACATTTCTTTGTCAATACACAATAATGACAGAAATCTGATTTGATGTTTACCTGCTTGAGGTGCTTAGCTACAGTATGGCACCATAATAACAAACAACTAAATACATAATGTGTAACATAATATACATTTATAAGGATGTTGTACGAGAATGTTTTTTTATACAGAAACTAAAAAGGACCGTCAAGCCCTAAATATGTATGTGCTAAACAGCGCTTTTAAAAGTGATTAAGTGTTTTTGTCTCCACAATAAAGTTATTTAACTTTGTTAACATATGATTAAAAAAAATCTAAAAACAATCAGTGTGTTTCATTGGTTTTAAAATAGTCACAAACTAAAGTCAGAGAGTTACTGCAGAGGCAAAAGTAGTTGTTCTTTGAAACAATTACACTGGTTAGTGTCAGTGCCCTTGAGCAAGGCACCGAACTCCCAGCGGCATGTGTTGACCTATACCTGTATTCCAATGGATGTTTGTATTTAATCTGTACTGTGTGTGTATTCAACACATTCTATAAACAGAGGGGACAACTGAACTTCCCGTAGGGCATCAATACATCTACATCCTAATCTTGCGACCCCCCACAGGGCCTTAATGTACTGTATGTGCTATTTTGGTCAGAATAGTATTTGCCTGCAGCAGATATTAACAACAAGACGCAAACAAAGTAGTTGATCTTATCTGTTTGTGTTAGCAGTTCTCCATACCAATCAGCTGTTTATCTGAAGCAGTAACCAAAACAATCCTGAGGGACAACATGTGTGCCAGTTTATAAATAAAAACAGCTTGGATATTACATAATGCATCCAGAGGTTAAATATAGCAAAGTGTTTCTGACTGTGTTTCATGCTGTGTGTATTTAAAGCTGAAGCTCTGATTTCATGTTTTAATGTGCAATGAAGAAGGAAGATGATGAACCAGATTAACAGCTGGAAAAATATATGTTGGTCGAATTATTAAACTGGTTTATCACGAAATATGCTGTGTCACTGTCATGGATGCAATGTTGGGTTGTTGGCTGTATGGTCATTGAATCTAGATTATTATAGGCAAATAACATTTGTTTTGCATTATAAATAATTAAATAACTTAACACATTTGCCATTTATACGTTTGGTAAATAAAATGTATATAGTTCAAAAAGTTTTGATCATTCAAAAGAAATTCAACAATTTGGCAAGCAATTTGATTTCTATTATTTCTGCTATTTTCTTGATTATTATTAAATAATAATTGACACTGACATAGTTACACTCATGCTAATAAAGTATATTAAAGCATAAAGGCAGCCCATCAGAACATTTATGATGTATGTTTAATTGCACATCTGTGTTGTCCGAAAGACAAATCAAATATTTTGTTCCCTGCCCCCTTTATTCTCCTTCTCCCTCCCTCAGTCAAGTGATTCAACAGATGTGATGAGTGAGCGCTCTGAGCGTCCAGCTGCTCATGACAGGTGTTCATAACATGACCTACACTCAGGATGGATGACTGATTAAGAGGGGAAAAGGGAGGCGGTGTTGTACTGCACGCTTTTCAGGGCTCTGGATATCGTTTTACTTCACGGACGGTGTTTGTTTATCAGGCTGAACGGCGGAGATAATTTCCCATCAGCCGTCTGACAGGTAGGACAGTGTTTGAAATTGAGTTGACTTGTTCAACAAAGCAACAGCTGGAGGAGCTGCCGCAGGCTGTCAGGATGCTTTGGAACTGCTGTGGGTCGGTGGGCATGGTGAACACACACACACACACACACACACACACACACACACACACACACACACACACACACACACACACACACACACACACACACACACACACACACACACACACACACACACACACTTTACAGTGTGCGTTGTTGGCAGCAAAGAGATTGCTTCCAGCTGTGGCATCTAGGCTGGGGTAACACTAGGGATGGGTATCGTTTGAAATTTATCGATTCCGATTTCGATTCCGGTTCTGCTTATCGATTCCGGTTCTTATCGATTCCCCGTTTCGATTCCAAAATTGTAAAATAAAGAGGTCAAACGTTTAGATAACAAAAATATATTTATTCTTAAAAGCTTTAACTGAAATTGTTACTAAAAAATATACATGCAATACAAATGTATTGCACAATAGCTGTGCTTTATTTTAACTGAGCTATGCCTGTGGCAAGCTATTAACAGGCATTACACTTTGCCTTTTCTTTTTCTTTTTTAGTGTAGTGGAGCCTCACTTCAGAGTGTTTACCGCGACCTATCTTTGGTGTTATGAAGTGACTGAGCTCGTGAAATGTCTACGGGAGGGCGGGGGAGCATCGCTGCGGGGCAACTGTGGACCTCTGTCGCCTGTCAGCGCAATTTATATGATGCCGTTTAAAAAAATGAAGGGCGGTGCCGGCCGTCAGCGTACCGAGCCGGCCGTCAACGGCCCGCTGACGACCGGCCGTTCTGTGATTCTCCAGGTCCGCCCTGTATTCCACCGGGTCACCGCAGCGCAGACGGACCCGCTGGAATACAGGGTCTACCGCGTTTAGGAACCGTTAAGCAGAACCGAAATTGTGTATTTTGTATGGGTACCCGGCATTTTCTTATCGGTTCTCATCTGGAACCGAGTTTCGGTTCCCAACCCTAGGTAACACACACATACAGTACACACACATTCAGAATGGCACCCCTGTGTGTTTCTGCTTTTAATTTGACGTTATGTGTGATAGTTACATTTACACATAATAACAATTGTTCATCAACATTCACCATGCTCGCTCAGCTCGACCAAAACTCATTTTCTTTATTAAGTCCTTTGATAAAGCCCTAAAGGTTTGTCTGTGAATTTAATCTCATATCAATTGCTTGTGTTTCCTATTGGCTGCTAAGATGAGCTGCTCAACCAATCAGAAGAATAATGATATCGCACCACAGTACGAGGGGAGACTCTCTAAACATGGAGGATGATGAATGACTCCCTCAGTGTGTGTGTCTTTGTGTGTGTGTGTGTGTGTGTGTGTGTGATTTTGTGTTTCGGTAGTTGTGTGGACTGAAACACATTCTTCATTTACTACTTGCCAAAGTGGCATTTCAGTTTTTCAATTTGGATTAAAGTTTATGATTACAATGAGCATTAGGCTGAGATGATAGGGTAAGATTATGGTTAAGGATTAAAGGCATAACTGCCAAAATAATGTACACTGAACAAAAATATAAATGCAACACTTTTGTTTTTGCTCCCATTTTTCATGAGATGAACTCAAAGATCTAAAACATTTTCTATAAACACAAAATAACCATTTCTCTCAAATATTGTTCACAAATCTGAAAAAAATCTGTGATAGTGAGCACTTCTCCTTTGCCGAGATAATCCATCCCACCTCACAGGTGTGGCATATCAAGATGCTGATTAGACAGCATGATTATTGCACAGGTGTGCCTTAGGCTGGCTACAATAAAAGGCCACTCTGAAATGTTCAGTTTTATCACACAGCACAATGCCACAGATGTCGCAAGTTTTGAGGGAGCGTGCAATTGGCATGCTGACAGCAGGAATGTCCACCAGAGCTGTTGCCCGTGAATTGAATGTTCATTTCTCTACCATAAGCCGTCTCCAAAGGCGTTTCAGAGAATTTGGCAGTACATCCAACCGGCCTCACAACCGCAGACCACGTGTAACCACACCAGCCCAGGACCTCCACATCCAGCATGTTCACCTCCAAGATCGTCTGAGACCAGCCACTCGGACAGCTGCTGCAACAATCGGTTTGCATAACCAAAGAATTTCTGCACAAACTGTCACAAACCGTCTCAGGGAAGCTCATCTGCATGCTCGTCGTCCTCATCGGGGTCTCGACCTGACTCCGGTTCGTCGTCGTAACCGACTTGAGTGGGCAAATGCTCACATTGGATGGCGTCTGGCACGTTGGAGAGGTGTTCTCTTCACGGATGAATCCCGGTTTTCACTGTTCAGGGCAGATGGCAGACAGCGTGTGTGGCGTCGTGTGGGTGAGCGGTTTCTGATGTCAATGTTGTGAATCGAGTGGCCCATGGTGGTGGTGGGGTTATGGTATGGGCAGGCGTATGTTATGGACGACGAACACAGGTGCATTTTATTGATGGCATTGTGAATGCACAGAGATACCATGACGAGATCCTGAGGCCCATTGTTGTGCCATTCATCCACGACCATCACCTCATGTTGCAGCATGATAATGCACGGCCCCATGTTGCAAGGATCTGTACACAATTCCTGGAGGCTGAAAACATCCCAGTTCTTGCATGGCCAGCATACTCACCGGACATGTCACCCATTGAGCATGTTTGGGATGTTCTGGATCGGCGTATACGACAGCGTGTTCCAGTTCCTGCCAATATCCAGCAACTTGGCATAGCCATTGAAGAGGAGTGGACCAACATTCCACAGGCCACAATCAACAACCTGATCAACTCTATGCGAAGGAGATGTGTTGCACTGCGTGAGGCAAATGGTGGTCACACCAGATACTGACTGGTTTTTGGACCCCCCCAGACCCCCCCAATAAAGCAAAACTGCACGTTTCAGAGTGGCCTTTTATTGTGGCCAGCCTAAGGCACACCTGTGCAATAATCATGCGGTCTAATCAGCATCTTGATATGCCACACCTGTGAGGTGGGATGGATTATCTCGGCAAAGGAGAAGTGCTCACTATCACAGATTTTTTCAGATTTGTGAACAATATTTCAGAGAAATGGTTATTTTGTGTTTATAGAAAATGTTTTAGATCTTTGAGTTCATCTCATGAAAAATGGGAGCAAAAACAAAAGTGTTGCATTTATATTTTTGTTCAGTGTAGTTTAAACAACTGCATACATTTACTCTGCATTGAACAATATACACTCCTTACTTTCCTTAACATTTCTTTCTATTCATGGTTGGCCTCATCTTTGGTTATCACAACATTATATTTACTAGGAAATGTGATGATTGTTCCTATAATTGCATATCATTTATTGACTAATTATGCATTTAGATTAATCATTAACGTCCAATTGTTTCTGGTTTGTACGTGATAGTTGTCACACTTTGAGACTCGTTGCTAGTAGCTTCAGTATACAAATGTTTCATGTTTCATTTGTTTGATGTTTAGCTCCCATTTTTCACTGATATGTAGCGGTTTTTGTTATACATTTTGACATATTGCTCAAAGGGTTCAGTATGTGTTAAAGTTATGACCTTTTCCTACTACTTCAGGTACTTCCTTCGTTTACCAGACTGCCTTTCAACACTCCCAATGGACCAGGAGTGAACTTGTAATCTTTATTCTAACATTATATAACATTGTCACTGGTAACTTAACAAGATTAACAAAAAAATAATAAGCACAAAAAACCTTGCTTTATCTCTTAGGGTGGCTTTATGCCTACAAGTCTAGAAATAGGATACAGTTAAGTGAGACTACGGTCGCTATGGATGCAACATTTAAAGTTTTTGTTTCACAGGTTTCCACATTAAACATAATGTTGAAAGAACTTAGTATAGGAAGGAAATATTACAGAAAAAAATGACAATGCATATCATGTCAAGCTACTTTAATAAAGTCAAGCTATTTGAATCCTGAAATTCCCTATAATCTACAGTTTGTTCACATATCGTGAAATGAAAAAATATCTGCCTTTCTGACAGATGGCCAATAGATGGTTGCATAATATGAATGAACAAAGGTAGAAGCTTTTTAAATTGGCAAACCATAACACGCCTCTCGGTGACCTCTCTCTCCTTCTTTTATCTCCCCCTTTTCTCTCTTCTGTCTCAATTACCGGCCGGTAGCACCCAGGCCGTGTTCTATCTCAGAGGCTGTTAATTAACACAATTACCTCCTGTGCTGCTGTTAGGCACACAGACAATGAGAGGAGGTACAATAGAAAACCATTACTCACAGCCTGTCGACAAGACAGACAGACAGAGAGGGGATGAAAGGCTCCGATGGACAAATAAGCCACTTGACGGTTGAAGAAGTAGAAATTGGCCAATTAGAATGCCATCAATGTCAAGAACCACTTGTCAAATGAATGTTCTCTTCCCACTGTTGCCCGCAGGCTCTTCTGTACTGTAACTGTCCTCATAGACAGGCTTGCAAGCAAAAGTCAGCTGGATTTATAAGCATCTTGTACATTTTGTCAGACTTGATGGCTTTAAACGTTTCTGTAGGCGATGGACGCTGTGCTCCTGTGCTGATTAATTGAGGAGGCCATTTTACTTTATCCTCCCACTGCATTGACTTGAGTGCTTCTCCTACATTTGTTTTCTGCTAGATTTTCCCAGGATCTGGGCATCCCTGCAAGTTTCTGAGGGCTTGATGGATTCTTAATGTCGACATCTAGCTCCACTCACAAACACACAATTCAACTGAAGAAAACGGCAATGATGCATTTTGTACATTATTGCATCACTGCAAGGCATCCATCTTAATATAACAATTAAAGTTAGCTTTAACTAATGGACTACACAACTGCTTAATTTGCATACAGCAAAAATATTTAGTTTTTGAGAAGCATTGATAGGCTTCAAGTGCTTATGTACTAATAGTGCCTTTTAAAGCTCTGTTAAAAAGAGTAGGTATTCCCATACTTGAAGTATTCATGATTAAAAAGAAACGTGTGGAATAAAAGTTCTTTACAGTATGTGTAGTACAGTTATTTACAATTTGACCACATCATTTGGCTAAGCTGCTTCATCCAGGCTGTGCTGGCGTAGTTTGATCATATTTGATTGACAGCAGCATGGCAACATGAACCCTTAACCCTGATTGGTGCACAGCAATATGTGACAACGCCGTTGTCAACAATAGCACAAACTAAGGCCCAATCCCAAACCACGCCCTACACCCTGCCCCTACACACTACCCCTCCGTGACGGAGTGAACTCCGTGGAGTGACACTCGCAGCTCAACGAGGCTCCCTCCTGTCGGATGGAGGGAGTAAATACAGCAGCAAGCTTTGGGACGGCCTCCCCTCTCTCCGGCAGAAACAGGAAATGCCGTAACTGTATGTAACAACGGTTTCAAATCAGCATCTCTTTGACAAAACATAAAAATTAATAACTAAAATAAAACTCCAAACATCTTTCATTGTGTTGTTGTGATGTTGTTAACATCGCAGTTTATCAGTGGATGTTTGCTGGAACTACTTGTAAACAGCGTGTTTCCTGACGGACACACACAGCGTTGAGACCGGTCAGGTAGAGACCGGTCTCCAGTCAGCACCGCTGCAGACTCGCTGTTTGAGGGCTTGATAGCCCACTCCCCCTCCACACCTCTCCACACTCGTTGGTTTGGAACAGCACTTAATGTGGCGGACCCTCCGCGGAGGGGTAGTGTGTAGGGGTAGGGTTAGGACGTGGTTTCGGATTGGGCCAAAATCTGTAATGCCAAAAGTTGCCTAATGTGAAGTAGGAGTCAATACTTTCCTACAAAAAAGTTCCTGAAGTATTTCCTACCTGTGTGACGAGGCTCTTGAGTTCAGTCCTCTCCACCTCCCATGATGCCTTGGCCTTAGCGAACTGCTGGGTGAGTTCCTGGGAGCCTTGTCTCTCCTGTCGCAACTCGCCGCTCAGATCCCGCAGCGCCACCTTCAGGTCTGCCAAGGTGCTGCTCACTGCGCTAGACTGCAGGGAGAGGAACGCATGTTGAGTGTGTGTGTGTGCACAAGTGTGTCTGTGTGTGTGTCACTCTACCAACCTTGATAGTGGGACTGAGAGGTTGTTCGTCTGCAGCAGCCCGCTTGTCAGTCTGGTGGGCGGGGCTTGTCAGGTTCTCCTCCTCCAACAGCAAGTAAAGGTCCCTCAGACTGTTCATCTAGACAACAACACACAAAGCAGGATCAGCTGTCAGTCATCATAAATACTATCGATCACACAATAAGTGGTGATTTTCTAGGACAATTTGTTGAAAATTTAATTAAGCTACAACGCCTTTTATGTCACATTTTAGTCAATCTTTCTTTTCGATTTCTTCTTAATGCTTTTACAGGATGAAAACCTAAAACAACCTTATTTCAACATGTTTGATGACAGTTGGAGAAATCCTTTGAAGCTTTTAGGATAATAGAGCATTGCTTTTAGATAAGATTTATTGGGCAAAATAATTGACTTGACTATTAAATCCTTTCTGTCCCCTCTTACCTCCAAGATGTCCTTCCACTCGGTGTCTTTCCTGCAGCCCAGCCTCCAGTGTTTGAGGAAGCAGCGTAGTTTGAGGCTGAGCAGGAGCAGGGCCTGTTTCAGGTGCTGGGACTCCTGCACCAGCAGAGACCTCTCCTGGCTCCATAACTTCTGCTGAAGCCGAGCCTGGAGGCCCAGACTCTGCAGCTGGAAGTCCCGACGGAGCAGAGCCTTCTGGTGCTCCTCCTGGAGCTGAGGGGAGAAGAGAGTTTGAATAAGGAGGCTAAATCTTTGAAAAAACACCTCAAATATAACATGAGGTAAATTCAGTTTGACAGCAAAATAAGTGTGTTCTTCTGTAGATGTCTATATACACTTGGGTTTGGTTGGGGAAATAATGAATGTACTCTTCCAATATCAGAGTAGCACATGATAACAAAGGCCCTACGTACGTAGCTACGCAACAGGATGTATGATTACCTAGAAGACCCTCAGGACACACTGTTTTAGGCATATGATAGCTATGTGACAACGATTAACATGATGATTCAGCCTCTATGGAGATAGACATATGACAAGGAAGATCATTTCTGACGTGGGTTTTAGCTAATCTGAACTAAACATAGAATACTGCTTTGAACCGGTATTCCTCCATCTTGTGACTGTGTAACACCCTCTCTTGTATATAAAGCATCTGAAGGACACTGTTCAGGAACTAGTTGTACCAAATGCTCTGCATGTGATGACTACTTCCATTCTTGCAAGGATAATAAATACATATATCCTGATTATTGAAGCTCAAGCCGTTGACGAGTGATATTTTTCTAACAGGTTTCAATGTGTGTGAGGGTGTTTTGTGTACTGGTTTAGTTAATTAGTGAGTGTGTCTCAACAGTATTCTGTGAAGGAAAATGACCTGTGTGAGTTTGAGAGTGGTTTCTCTCGGAGCCTGCCTCTCCTCCAGCTCCCCCTGAGGTCCCAGAGACAGCTCCTCCACTTCGGACAGCCGCGCCTGGATGTCACCGGACTGGAAGAGAGAAAGAGGGAGATGGAGACAAATGAGTCAGGTATAAATATAAAAATGGCAGTTTTGTGCTAGAACACCCTTTAAATCACACCTCAGCTGCCACACGCTACTGTACGTCACACACACACACACACACACACACACACACACACACACACACACACACACACACACACACACACACACACACACCACACACACACACACACACACACACACACACACACACTCCCTCGCCTCATGTGGCTGCTGAGTGAGTGCAATCCATCGACCCGCCACTGTACCATTAATGTCCTCTTTCACCCTCCACTGGGCTCAGCCTCTGCCCTCCATCACCCCCCATCACCCTCCACCCTGAGCCCCCGCCCTCCACTGTTCACAGCCTGGAAATCTACTCTGACTTCTGTTACACTGCTGTGGCAGCTGCCCATGCAAAATGTACAGAGAAAAACTGTAGCAACATAAGAGCAAATGTGTGAAGAGTGGGAGAGTTAAAAAACACCACTTTAAAAATAGTATACAATTACAGTCATCACCTGTGTTTGATTATTTTAAGGATATGTTACTGTTGTTAAGTGTATTGGCAGATTTATTTATGCTTAAACAAGTTACACAAACTTTAAACCGTGAAATTAAGGTAGGAATGGTTTGATATTTTCAAAGCTTCATTTTCGAGACTCAGTTGGAATGATTGATTCCCCTTTCATGCCGGTGCAGTCACTATGGAGTTGATTAACTTATCTTAGCATTGAGGCTGGAAGAAGAAGACGTTTTCCATTTCATTTGTATAAAAAACTGAAATGTAAACATTTTAAATTGTTGTTTACTTTTTGCTAGGTGAACAGCAGCTGGATTTTCCACTGGTTTTGTTATCTAACAGGGAAGTAATTACCCAGAGAGAAATAGTTCCAGCCAAGTGGCAAACTCCATGTTAGCAAATGTGTACGTGCCTTAATCCTATATTCTTTCTAATCTCCACTGTCTGCAAATAGATGTCTGTTTGTATAAAAGTCTACGAAAAAGAGGCCCGACCCCCATTTATTACCACAGTAAACATTTTGACTTTATCATCCCAATCGCTAGTGTTAAGTCTCATTAATAAGAGCATGATGTTCATTTACTCAATTATTGTTCCATATATAACACAAATGGTCGCCTAAAATTGTATTGATAAGTATTATCACTATTATTAGCTCGGTTGGACGCTACACAATCAGATGCTGTTGGTACCTGTACATGTGGTTAGATATGTAAATTGTAATCCCTGTACATTTTGCTGTATGATGTTCTTTTGTTGTTCTGTTGTTTATGTTTTTATGTCTTCTTGTGGAACCTACTGCTGCAGGTCTCCCTTGAAAAAGAGATCATTGATCTCAATGGGATTTTACCTGGATAAATAAAGGTTTTGAATTGAATTGAATTATGTTGTACTTCGACCCTCTTTTGTCAATTGGCAACGTCCACATTCCAAACTGGAGGCTGCAAAATGCTATTCAACAAACCAATAAGTACCAAATAGTAACCTAGCTTAGGGCGGGGAAATTAATTGCAGGCAACGAGGGGTTTTTATGCTAGATGCCGATTGTATGTAACACTGGGTGTGTATGCTGCTGTCTCACTGCTCATTACGGCTACGAACACAACTGTTTTTCCATAATATCTATAACTGTTGTTATCTTTTATTCTATTTTATTCTAATTTGTCTACCATTCACTCTCTGGACCCCATTCAGGCTCTGGATAAAGATTCATATACACACATCCCTGGTTACCATGGAGGCATGCCAGCAAAAGGTCGGCCAAACAAAGGTCTTTTATTCCCGTCTATCCCCCAGCTGACAGTGAAGTCACTGTTTATGTTTGTTTACAACACTGTGCAGCTAGCAGGAGTTTGCAGCCACTGTACCACATCAGTAACTGTAAGCTAAAGTATGTGGTGTGTGTGTGTGTGTGTGTGTGTTTGTGTGTGTGTGTGTGTGTGCAAATGTGCTTATAAATTAGCCTTTGATTAACTTTTCCATGGCCGCCCGTCATTGTGTTTGCTCAGGCAGAAATGATGTGAGTATCACATGAGAATATCAGAGTACCATTTCTGGTGCATAATTAAACCTAAGTTTCATAAATGCAAATGATTTTCAATATCAAATGATAGTGGTGGAAGAAAAAAAGTGTATTCTTGACCCAAGAAAATGGGGTTTGACCACCTAAATCTTAATACAAGGTCCACATAACTAGCTTTATTTAAGAGAATTGAACAGTATCTCAAATATTTTGCAGCTGATGATGCTTGTTCAGTTTACAGAGATGGCAGAGTTGCAATTATGATCATCTTTTTAATGCGACTTCCACCATATACTGTATGAGCACGGACCCATAATCACGTGACCAAAGTTTTAAACTTAAATCACATGATGACAACAGAGCAAGCTCAGTTAACCACAGTTAAAATGCTGGACAACCAATGGAAGATGGTGAAAGACACTGAACAAACTGAGGGAGAATGCAGAGTTGGGTGAGTGAGCCCTTATAAAAACAAGTAGTCAAATTAATATTTAAAAAAAACATCAGCAAATTTCCCATTTACTGACCTCCTCCCCATCAGAGACATAGTGGACACCATAACAGCCTGAAGGCGTTTAAGACTGTGGCCAGACAGCAGTGTGGTCTGTCTGTGTGCACATGACTGGTTTGACATTTAAACTTGGCTTCAGGCTCCAGTGTGTCTGAGCCTGTCGTCATGATGTGAATGGTTGTGATTCTGAGCGACTCACCAGTGTGTCGTCTGCCTCCTTCTCTCCCTGTTCCAGCTGGCTGTCTTCCTGCTTTTGCATCTCCTGGCTGTCTGACTGGCTGTCCTCCTCAGTTTGACCTCTTACCTTGGTCTCTGATTCGTCCCTATAATCAGGCTGCTGCATGCATGCATGGGCAGGTTAATGAATAAAGAAAAAAATAAAACAAAAACAGTGGAAAGAAGAAGGGACAAGGGAGGAGGAGACGTTGTGTCGTGATAAAGAAAATGAAGAACAAACACAACAATAAGAATAATTCAACCAAAATTGTGTCTATCCGTATGATAACATTAAGACAATGAAAACAATTAAATAAAACAGTTGATATGGATCTCACAAGACAAAGAAAAGGATGTAAAGAAAAAAGAGCTTGGTCGAAGAGGAGAAGGAGAGAGTGGAGAAAAGGAAGAAAAGGAGGATGGAGGGCAGAATGAACGGCTGGAGGAGAGAAAATGGAAATGGAAGAGTAGGGAAAAGGAAAGACAGGGGAGTAACAGTCATGGGAGTTAGGGAAGGGAAAGAGAGAGAGGCGGGAAATAAAGAATAAGTAGTAAGGCGGTTATGATAAAGAATCAGAGCGAAGGGGAACAAAGAAACAAAGTGCAGATGGGGAAGCAAAGCAAGGACAAAGGAGAAGAAGGAAGAGCGGGAACAAGGGAAGGAACGGGATTTGAGGTGAGCAAGGAGGAGTCAAGAGTATGAGGTAGTGAAGCAGTTAAGGAGATAACAAAGAGGAGGAGGTGTGAGGAGTTTCAAAGAAGGGGAAGAGGGCGATGGAAGTGAAGTGCAGAAACCGACCGTTATGGTGCCCATGCAGTGAGGAAAAAGGGAAGAAGGAAGGACGGAGGGAAGGGGAGAGGGAAAAGGAAGGAGAGATTGGAGGGGTGTTGGGACTCAGTATTGGCCTCTAATGGAGTCTAAACATAAAAATGTATCCTCTTAAAACTTAGCGCAATTTCCTCACATCCTTATCCAAATTATGGATTTGTATTTATAAGAAATACTTTTTCCCTGTAAAGGCAGTAAAGCAAATTGCAGAAATATCCATCATTTTTGGGATTTGTTGATACGCGGATTAAAGTGGCAATTTAGCGACAACATTTTTAAATATAAAAAAGGATGGGTACTGTTTTATAAAACTGTTCCAATGTGTTACTATAACTGTCATTCTTTTGATTGCATTTTGACCATTACATAGAAATGAGATGCTCATTCTAAGTCATAAATCATAGACAATCAACCGTAACGCAAAAATAATTTCCCAGAGGAAAATTACAGACGTGAAATCTGATTTATGAAGCATGATTGGAAATCTCTTTAGAGCGAGCTCACTGTCTCATCTGCAGCTTTGAGAAATCTGTGTCTACACCTCTTTCAATAATAAACCCACGTAGATTTCACTACCATTATATTATATTACATACAATTGATGGATTTTAATGTCTCAGATTATTTAATATTAGTCTTCGGACTGCAGATGTTGGATTTTAGCCATGGAAATATGAAGTACATTTCTAAGTGTTGTGTTTATACAAATACATCTCTTATGATGACGTCTACAGAGCTGAAATTGACAACCTCAGAAACTAGGTTCCTTAAAGGTTTTTTTAAATAATAAAACCAACACTGTGCCATTTAGTGCTTTTAAACATATTATTTTCTATTCTATAGTTGTCACACTCGTTTAAATTATGATGCCGCATTCCGTTTCACTACAAATGTGAGGGAATCTATGGAGACAAATGTAACTCTATTACTCAATCACACTAAACCCAGGCTGCATGTTTTATGAAATGTTGATGAAGAAATGTATATAAATAAATTGTGCTTTTATGTGCTCCTGATAACTCTATTAGGTCAATTAATACAAACAGGCTCCATTTGAGGCCTAAAGCAGCATCTATATACCAGGTTAGGAAGCATTGGATAGCATGCAGAGGACACGGTGGCCTCAGGTGGAGAGGGTTACACTGGACGCTCAAATCTGAATACATCTAATACACCAATATTAGTATCAGAAATCCTTTATTAGTCCCGCAGCGGGGACATTTACAAATGTAACATGGGGCTATTTGTCAACTTACACTGATCATGTTAGGTGCCTATCGAATGGATAGGCAAAAGAGTCATAAACAGATCAGAATAAATTAAAATGTAAAATTGCAGTGGTATTTCAGATTTGAGCGTGTTTTGTAAATCCATTCTCCACTGTGAGGAGAAACTACAGCAGATGGGATTGGGAGGGTTTTCAGCCAAACTAATGGAAAGGCACTTGACCAAACACAAAACTGAAGAATAGCAACAAAAAAAGCGACAACAGAATATACAAACCCAACAAAGTGAAAGCTTAAAAAAAATATATACAGATAATAACTGAAAGAGACAGAGTGACAAGGAGTGAAAAGCAGGAGTGTGTCTTTTACCTTCTCCATGGTAGAGTTCAGTACATCCTGCTCCTCTCCAGAGCAGGGGGGGGGCAGAGGAGATGCTCCTTCCACCTGAGGGTCCCTTCCACCTGCGGGGGGTTTCCCCTGGCTGTCCACCCGCTCCACAAAGGCCTGGAGCTGCGTGTGGAGGGCTTGGAGCCGGTTGGTCAGAGCCCCCACCAGGGGCCGGTCCGCCAGGTCAGACAGCTCGCAAATCTGGGGCAGAAATAAATAATTGATCTCACATTTGTTTATTATTGGCTGTTTAAGGGGACTGCTTGGGATTATGTGGGGCAATGCAGCATGTGTATGAACAATCAGTGTAAGAAATACATTAAAAAAGGTGTAATATAAATAAAATAAAAATGTATCATGAGGCTGTGTTATTTGCGCCTCTAGTTTCTTCATCTTCAAAATCAGAATCAGAATGAAAATGAGGTTTATTGCAGGTTTACACATACAGGGATTTGCTTTGGTGTATAATGGTGCATACATAGGACTAGTGCGTTGGTGTTCGGATCAGGGGAGCGCAGGTTCAAACCCCACTGCAGTCAGCTTGTCGTAGACAAAACACTTCACCCCAAGATTGCCACAGTATTATTGAGTATGTAAGTCGCTTTGGATAACAGCGTCTAACAAGTAACATGTAATGTAATATAACTCTGGTGTGGTATACACAACAACACACACACACAAAAAATAAGAATGTTTCTGCTGTCTTAATTTAAGACAAATGCACTTATATATTATGCCAATTCAAGAATTTAATTCTTATTGTAAGCTTTATTTGCTGATTTTTAAACTTAATTTAAGATTTACATTCTAAGTTTAAGACAAAGTCACTAATATTTTGTGTATATAAAGCCAATGATTCTTATTGTAAGCTTTCTTTGCTAATTATAAATCTTAATTTAAGAAATACATTCTCAGTCAACTCAACCAAAACACTCATTTTAAGTGATTCTTTCTTAAATAATGCAGGATTCATTGCTTGTAATAAGCAAAATGTGCTTAAATTGTTGTCTAGTTTCAAGGCCAATTACGGTCTTTCGCTAGATTTTAATTCTAGTTTTAAGAATTCTAGCCAAGCAAATTTGGCTCACCCCATTGGCAGATTTGTTTTGCTTGATACAGGAAAATGTGACATTTAGCTTGTTTTTGGAAGGGCTGTTTTTGCAGTGCAATAAGGCATTTCTGGCAATCTGTTAGTCTCGCTGAGTCTGTTGCAGGCCACATTATGGCCTTTGTTGCGGCTCAAAGTCTGACATGCAGAGAAAATGTTGGTCTCATTTCAAAGCGGAGAATCTGCATATTAATCCCGATATGTTATGATCCACTACAGCTAGGCACGATATGATACGAAAATGTTTTTTTTATCCACGCCATCATCTGAACTACAGTATAAAGGGAGCTAGGATGGACAATTGAGTGGGATTGAATTTGTGCTGAGTCATTAGGAACATTTTATTCTGGTGGCTAATATAAAGTTATGGTGTACTTGAAGAGCAGAGGACGCCATGTACCTGGCTGTGAGGTTTCTCCAGGTCACACGGCTCCGCTGCGTCGCTGCTGCAAACCTTGTGATAGATGGAGGGGGAGGAGGAGGAGGAGAGGCAGTTGGACTCGGGGGAGGTCAGGAGCTGTATCGCCGTGGAAACCAAGCGAGCCTGGTCCCTCATGGCCAGCAAGGCATCATGGTCCTTCTGCCCCAGGTACCCGGGGAGCGAGGTGGTTGCGTCAGCGTTGTCCTCGATCTTCTTTTTCCGCTCCTTCATGTCCAGAGTGTCGGTCTCCCCCCCCACCGGCTCTGTGCGGTGCGGCGGGCTGATGGAAAAACAGAGAGAGCATGTTCAGGGCTTCTCATGCATGTTGGGATTGAACGATGGGATTGAAAGTTCATTATTGACCCTAAAGTGGTTAGAAAATGTCTAAACATCTATAATTGACTTACAGCCTCCGAATATCTACTAAATTGACTTTGTTGTGAGACTGTTTTTCAAACTTTGCTTATAAATCTCAATCTTGCATAGCCAAAGATGTTTCATGGTGCCAAGAGGATGATTTCTACTGACTTTGGTGACCAAAAACAAACTACTCTACGCGGTACCACTTTACAATAAGACTACCCTTATAAAAGATTCATAAAGGGTTTATAATTAGGTTATGAATTAGGTTGTAGTTTATTTATTTATAGTGTCGTGGACAGTCCCCATCGATGAACTGTCACAAAAACAGTAAATGGTGCAGCTTTAGCCGACATGGCTAATTTCCAGCTGTTGTCCCCGGCCAGATGGTAATAGACACCCTTAAAATTACAATATATCAAACGGAGGAAAGACAAGTAGATACCGGTGAGAGGATAAAAGAGAACAATAAACAACACACGTTACTATATATAGTACATGTCAGATATAGCACATCACAATCACATCACAGAAACGAGGGGCAACATCCATGATCACAACATGTAACACAACATGTAACACTCACGCCATACTCAACACAGACTAGTGTGTGCAGGTGTAGTTCTCAGTGAACCATGTTTTTAAGTGAGCTGTGAAGGTGGGATGTGTATGTATGTCTTTGATTTGAGTGGGTAGAGAATTCCAGTTTTGTATTGCTGTGACCGAGAATGATGACTGACCAAAAGTACTCTTCCTGAATGGGACTGATAGGTCGCCACGTGTGGAGCTTCTAGTGGTCAGTCTGGTGTTGTTACGTTGAGTAACCAATGAGTTAAGAGGTGGAGGGGCTGTATTGTGCAGGATTTTGTAAACCAGAACGATGTTCCTATACTTTATTAAATCTTCCCAACTCAGGATGTTATGCTTGTTGAGGATGGTACAGTGATGGGAACGGTTAGGTTTCTGGTCCAGTACTTTGAGGGTTTGTTTGTACAGGGTTGCTAGTGGCTTCAGTGTGGAGCTGTTAGTTTGCCCCCAGCTTGTGAGACAGTATGTAAGATGTGACATGATCATGGCATTCATGTATCATTTGGCAGAATTCAATGTCATTGTGTTTCTTATGTATTTAAAATTTGCTAGGCTAAACTTGACTCTTTGGGTCACTTTTTCGACTTGTGTTTTGAATGTTAAATTAGAGTCAATAATGATTCCAAGGTACTTAACCTGAGGCACAATGTTAATATGTTCACCTGAGATGCTTATATTTGACACAATGTTGCATTTTCTTTTTGTGAAAAACATTCCAACTGTTTTGTTGACATTAAGCTGAAGACAGGAGCGGTGTAGCCAGCTAGTGATCAACACTAAAGCTGAGGTCAGTTTATCAGCAGCCTTTTGCTTTGTGTTGGCATGCACATATATCACAGTGTCATCGGCATATAGCTGTGTTTCCACATCAGGACAGACAGATGGCAGGTCATTAATATATAGGGAAAAAAGAAGTGGACCAAGTATTGAACCTTGACTTAAGCAACCTCCGGTGCTTAAGTCTAGAGCTGGAGAGAGTCGATTATTGACGATAACATGCTGACGCCTACCAGTAAGGTATGATTCAATCCAACTGAGTGTTAATGGAGAGCAGTTAAAAGCCGACAGTTTGGACAGAAGGACCTTATGGTTGACTGTATCAAAGGCTTTGCGTAAATCCAAAAATACTGCACCAACAACACCTCCTTTGTCAACCATTGCTTTGACCTTTTCTATAAAAAAGCAGTTGGCTGTTTCGGTTGAATAATTTGCCCTGAAGCCAAACTGCATGGGATGAAGTTGAACCCTTTATAAGGGTAGTCTTATTGTAAAGTGGTACCCTCTACGCTACTGTGTCTTTATTGAAGTGCATTTTTGTCAATAGGGCACTTTATAACTTGATTTCTTCCCGACTGCAGATGATCAGATTGTTTGGTTTTATATTCATTGAGTAATCAACAAAGCTGTTGATGTACTACAATACATACTCTCACTGAAGTATTCCCATTAGAGAACCAAATTGCAGAAGCACAATTTCATCCAAAAAGGTTGTACTGAAACTGAAAAACTACCTTGGGAGGCACTCAGCTGAGTCCCCGGCCTCTGCGTCCGTCTCCAGAGCCAGTCGTAGTGAGGAGGAAGAGGAGGAGGAGGAGGAGGAGGAAGGAGCGTTGTAGGAGGCCAGATCGCAGCGCTGTAGGTTAGACAGAAGCACTCGGTTCTCGTACTGCAGCTTCTTCACCTTCCCGCCCAGCTCTCCAATCTGAAGCCTCGCCAGTCTGAGCTCCTCCTCCTGGGCGGGGGCGTCTGTGCTGATAAGCACCGCCCCTTCCTGTATGGAGTGCACCGGGCTGTCGTTGAGCAGCCCGTCCAATGAGTTAGACGACATGGAGGACGTTGGAGGCGGGAAGTCAGATTTGTAGCGGTTAATCTCGTTCATCAGGAGTTTGTTCTGTTCCTCCATCTCGATGAGAGACCTCCTCAGAAGCTCCGCCTCCTCCTCCACAAACTGGAGGTGTCTCTGGAGCTCCATGACGTTTTCAGACGAAGCCCCGCCCCCAAGAACCATGGCTCCTCCTAGGCCAAGACCTGACCCCAGACCACCGCCAACACCACTTAGTTCCTGAGGGCAATCTAGAAAAACAATTACGATAGGTAAGTTACATTTTAAATTTGAAACTAAGCGGTATAGTATATGGGAAAATGTCCTTTCTGATGTATTGTTGAGAGTTATATGAGAAGATTGACAACACTCATATGGTAAATATAAAGAGGCCTGTTAGCTTAGCTTAGCATAAAGACTGGAAACAGTAGGAAACTGCTAGCCTGGTTCTGTCAAAGGGATGGTTGTGACTTTATACATTCTTCTTAACGCGGATGAAAAGCAACGCACATTCCCTAGTAAACCACAAAAAAGCAATGACTTGATATTTTCAATCGATCCTATACGTGAGTTTAAAAGCTACCTTGCTTCATGTCGTCCATCTCAGCTCGGAGCCCCCTGTTCTCCACCTCCAGCTCCACGATGCGTCGACTCAGCAGGTTGGCCTCTTCCTCCACCAGCTTCAGGTGGACTCTGATCTCCGCCTCACGGGTGTGGGGGGAGTCGGCGACCTGAGGGGGAGTTAAAGACATTAAGAAGAAGAGAACAAACTCTTTCATCACCTCCGCACTTTCAATCAACTGTAGACATTTAAAAAAACATGAATTAATGAAGCGCATACAGGTCTTTCTACCATTCTTATCCCATTTTTTTTTTGCACCACTCCATTCATTGTTGGAAAGGACAAACTGTCATGTTGTTATCAATATGAATAGTTATGAATATATATTCGACATCAACAGTCCTGGATATTCAAATCCTCATCTTAAACACAAGTAACTAAAAAGTACATACTGTAAAGGCCCTGTCACACTGTCCCGAAATTGACACCCGATGGAGGAAATGTTCAAATTCGGCTGTGATCGTAGCAACATCGGGCCATTCATGAGGGCATCTTAAGCCATCGTATGACCGCCGGTGGAGTTTCTCAGGCTCCGGCAGCAACTTCGTGAGCGGCAACTTCGTAAGGCACTCGTGAGGGCATCTTGTCAAATCGTGTCATCTTCGTGTTATCATCGGTGCATTCACCCTCAATCTGATCGGGGCGAATGCCCGATGGCACCGATGATAACAAGATGCCCTCACGATGGCCTTACGAAGGGCACAATTGACACACGAATTCAACACGAAAATGAACCTTCGCAAGGTCCTTCTGCAATTGTTTGGCATGCCAAAGATTTTGCCACCGCTCACGAAGTTGCTGCCGGAGCCTGAGAAACTCCACCGGCGGTCATACGATGGCTTAAGATGCCCTCACGAATGGCCCGATGTTGCTACGATCACAGCCGAATTTGAACATTTCCTTTATCGTGTGTCCATCGGGTTGTTTTATTGCACAACAAAATCATGTAAATATATTATGTAAATAACCCAATTTGTGTTCTGTGAAACTAAAAAGGATATAATATATTATTTTGAAGGACAGTTGACAGGAAGTTGTTGTTGTTATGGAAACAACATTACGGAGAAAACGTAATATTCTCTACATATAACGACGGATAAAGTAAAGAACAAAGTCTGAAGATATCAGTACAGTATCATAGTACTGTAACATAATTGTTTTTGGTACTTTCATTGCAGTTGTATGTCTTAAATGTAATGTAAATGTTGCCTTCGTGTGTGGTTCGGGGCCATCTTCGTGCGAAATTCACAATTCCATATTCGTGTGTCCATCGGGTGTCAATTTCGGGACAGTGTGACAGGGCCTTAAAGGAAATCGGCTTTTTGTTTTCAGCATTGGTCACTGAAATGGCTCCGACAAGATTTGGGATTAATGAGGTCTTTATGCTGTTTTCGTTACAATACAAACCAACCTCTGTAGCGTTTTCCCAGCCATTTTGGAATTCATTTTTTTTTATTGGGTACAAAGGGTCTGGAAATTTCAAACGTTGACCCTTATAATAGCTTTATTGCTCCATTAAGCAGTTTACAGGCAATCATCAAGAGGTAAACAACTAAATGGTGAGAAAATGATGGAAACGAAGGGTTTCGATGTTCCTTAAGATGTTGTCAGAAAACACTTACATGTATGGGAGCCGCCACAGCTCTAAATATGAAATAAAAATCCTCATCCATCTACCACCTTTTCCATGATGTGGTAGTTTTTGATACTGGATACCAATGTTATGGTTTTGGTTACTTAATAAGTGTCTGAAACAAGTTTTAATAAGCTCTCAAGTGAATATCTAGTTTCTTTCCATCCTCCTCATCGTCTCACCTCCTCCACGGTGAGCGAGGCATTGACGTCTCCGTACAGCGACCTGAACTTGGCCAGCTCCTCTTTCATGGCCTCACTGTCCTTCACCAGCTTGGTCAGCTTCTTGCACATCAGAGCTGATTCCTCTTTGGCAAAGTGGAGCTGACACTTCAGGTCTGAATTGTCCTCCTGCGGTGACGGGACAGAAACAGAGAAGAGCACAGAGGTGACGTTGATACGAAAGCTTCTGTGTCACAGAGAGGCTAACATGCACACACACCGTGCAAAGGGGGGTTTCTATGTTTAGCACCGTTAGAAGTAATACAATGATGAGTCCTTGCATTGTTAAGTCATTTTAATCAATAAATAAAATATATAAATGTGTTATGAGTTCCAGCTTCTGTCAATTCCTTTACTTGTGCAACACATTTTCTTTGGGTTTTTAGGAACATTTTTGGAATCAAAACTTAAATCAATAATTACAATATTAATTTAGTGCTGCCTGAAGTATTTGAGTAAAGAGGAAGTAATGAGAGCGACATTGAGGTACGTAGAGACAAGGATGCTGCTCATGATTTTCACTTTGAATGATACAAACTCACACTAAGGCAGCCATTGTTGAAAACAGACCGGACAAAAGACACACAGAGGAAGGAGGACTTGACTTATCTACACAGGGAAAAAGGTCAAATGAGGGGAAAGGAAAATCTGACGGAAATATACAGAAAGTAAAAGCTGCAGAAAGATGGATGAACGCACAGGAACAGTGCAGACACACACTCAAATAAGGCAAGTTAAATATGTGCAGATAAGTGGACAACCTCAGAGGTTTAGGGTGAGATATGTGATGGTTTTTGACATTCAATTATGTTCTGTAAAGTTCAGTATTTTGAAAAACATGTTTGTGCATATCTCTCATGATTATAATATAAAGCCAAAAACAGCTTGCTTGTCTGCCGTTTAAACACAATAAAGTGGGATGAATTGGTTTTTCATTCTATTCAAAACTGCCTTGAACTTGGAAAAATAGCGACAAAGAGCTATGTGACTAGCTTGTGGCTTTCAGCTACCAACTGGTGAGGTCAGAGTAATGCTGTGTTTGTTCCTTGTGAGGCTCTTACAAAGAAACACAAAGGAAACTCCAGAAAACCCTCATTAGTGGTTTGCCTCAGATGTCATACAGCATATGAAGTGTATAATTACTGACAGACAGATACAGAATACATATTTGTAATTTTGAGCTCAATGACTTAGAAAATGACTTTAACAGTATGCACAGCATTGTAAGCAGTATCCTATTTACTATCTGGTAGGCTATATTAAACTATTTGGATTTACATAGCATGAAAATAAGTTGTTAGAGTAGCAGATAGTTCGATAATGGGAAAGTTTGAACAGAAATTGAACAGCAGCACAAGCAAAGAATAATCAGGGAAGTAACTCAGGAATATTAGTATACGGCCACATGTATTCATAATAAACACTAGCTAGCCTTAGCAACGTTTAGCTATATGTCCCGCTAGTTCATATAAGGCTGTAGCAGAACAAATATGTCAATCAGGGACGGGTGGCGCAGTGATCATCAGATCAAGGGGGGTGCTGGGGAACTCCAGTTCGAAACCCGCTCCTGCCGCCACGGCGTCAGGCCGTTGTGTCCTTGGGCAAGACACTTCACCCGGATTTGCTCCTGTGGGTAATGTCCACAGTACATGTATAATATCAATGTGTACTTGTAAAAGCGCCTCGATGACTTCGAGGCGTGAAGATGGACGGTGTGGCGCAGTGCGCTGTGCAATGATCATCAGATCAAGGGGTGAAACCCGCCGCTGCTGCATCTGTAAAGCCGTTGTGTCCTTGGGCAAGACACTTCACCTGAACTTGCTCCTGTGGGTATTGTCCACAGTGACCATTGCATGTATACAAAATATGTGTAATGTGTATTTGTAAAGCGCTTTGAGCATCTGGAAAAGCGCTATAATAAATGTAAGGAATTATTATTATTAAATTATTAATCAAATGTACATTTTAGTGTGTAAAATAAAGAATGTGTTACTTAATTTTTCAGAATTGACATTGTCGATCGACTCAGTTGTGAATAGGAAAGTCATTTCTGACAAACCTCTGAGTAACATTTTAGGCACAGGATTGGTCAGTCTTACTGCTCCCACAAACCTCATTTGGAAAGTTGTTTTCAAAGAAAAAAGCTTGAATAACCCCAATGTAAAATGCCTGCCCAGCACCAAAGCGCAGATAGATACAGTTAGCTAATAGCTAATGAACATAGTGGAGCATTTGTCCGCCAAAGAGCCAGAACAAATAAGGAGCTAGAGGAGTGAATATAGGAATGGTGGCTATTAACAATACTTCATAAATGCTCACATATCTTCTGGATTTGAGAATGGACAAGCGAATTATGAAAATGTTTGCCAAACAAACATGAGCAAGGGCTTGTTGTGGTGTGTTTTTGCCCCCTTGTGGCCAAAAAAACAGTTAAAGCAACATCCAACTTTTTAAGGAGTAGGCTCTCAAGATAAATAGTATACATATTCATGTATTTATCTCCATCTCAATGTAAGCTCTTACTGCTGCTGGTCTGAGTTAACCCTGTGCACCTCATTCCACACAGGCAGTTCTGTGGCTGTATTTGTTTTACGGCCTGCGGAGCACTTCCAACCACATTAAGCGAGAGAGAGAGCCAGCAAATTTACGGCCTTTTATGGAATGTGGCTTTGAAAAGAAAGGCTTGCATTAGCAGATGTAGACATGGTGCTGGGGAGAGAATGAACTTGACCGCAAACACCTTCTTTGGCGATATGTTAGTCCTGTGGGTTTTTAATCTAAGCTCATACACTTCTTACTTCAACAGAGATTCAATTTTGTTTAACTGTGTGAATTATTTCAGTGGTGTGGAAAACTAAAGAAGGGAAGGACATTTAGAATTGTAGTTAAAGGTGGGGTAGGTAAGTTTGAGAAACCGGCTCGAGATACACTTTTTGTTATATTCCATGGAATGCTCTTAACATGCCGATAGCAATGAATATCTGAAGTGCTTTGACAACAAAAGCCATAAAAGAAATGTCATCAGTGGAAGCCGTAGTACTGTAAAAAGCACGACCAATCATCTGAGCCGGCCCGGCTAAAATAACTGGATGGCCTACCTGCCTGTCAGCCTGCCATCCGTGCACAAACTTATCTCGTGCCCTCATTGGTCATGTGCGCGTTCGTGTGTGTTGGAGGAGGGGCTCTGTAAGGAAGTGGCAGATTTTTTCCGGTTGTGTATTTTCAAAGTCTAGCGCACTCAAGCTGGTTTCTCCAAAATTACCTACCCCACCTTTAAGGGAATAGTAGTTATTTTTGGGGGAGGGAAGAGAGCCTGATCTAAGAGGGAGATTTAAGTGTGTTTCGAATCCAGATCTGTAATCCAAGCATAAACAAAAACTGAGTATGTGAAGATTACATTGTGTGCAAACGACTGCATTGTGATTACACGACTGCAGGGCATGATGGAGGGTAGAATTAAATATGAAGAGGAGATGAGGAGGGATACAGAACAGTCAGATTTATCTGCTTCAAACTGCACACGGCTTGTTTGGACAGATAGAGTGTGATCCCCAGAGGAAATAGGTCACAATCGGCAGAGAGACAGCCCCGTCATGAGAGGCAGGAACACACTTAAGGGATCAAACATGATAGATCTCCAACATGACAGCTTGTGGTTAGTGTACATAGACAACTTTTACATGTTTTTATCCTAAATAATTCAGCATATAAAGGCAGAAAATAGAAGAAAAAACAGCTGTTTCAGGGATGACTCACAAACAAAGTGATCATAAACCCTGTATGTACTTCAATTATAAAGCTTATCTTCAAAATATATTAAATTAAGAGAATGAAAGGAAGCCAAAAGCAAAACATCCTATTTATACTGGGACCTTCTCTGCATTGTTGGATACAATTACATTAAAATACAGTAGGTGTACATCTCAGACAGGGTTGCTGTTGTAATGATATGACATATTGAATTGTGTGACTGTGTTTATGCTCTCATAATATATAATAATACACATCTATGTAATAATGAATATGCTATTACATAAAGCCGGATACACTTTTGTTATGTCTGTGGAGAAACTGGAAAACACATTTTGAGGATCAGCAATATCTCAGATGGCGCTCTATCCATCATTGTGTGTGTGTGTGTGTGTGTGTGTGTGTGTGTGTGTGTGTGTGTTTGTGTGTGTGTGTGTGTGATAAGTGGCAGTCTCTCCAGGTTTAAGTGTCTTAAAGGTTGACTTGCTGAGACAGCACTTTGTGGCTCTTATTGATTTGTTAGACCATCTAGAGGAAAACATGGTAGTGTGTGTGTGTGTGTGTGTGTGTGTGTGTGTGTGTGTGTGTGTGTGTGTGTGTGTGTGTGTTACCTGTGGGCAGAGCTTCTTGTCAGGTTTGTTGTTGGGTCGTGCTGCTCTTTTCTTCTGGGAGTTCTGTAACACAGACACATACAGACGGTCATTAGTTAGCTGGGACACCATCAGCTATGAGCAGTCTAGATAAGATGAAGAATTGATTCGATCTAAATCAACACAGAGGGAGTGAAATATGACCTGTAGAAGAATACAACGCAGGTATTACAATTTTTCAGGATAAACTCATCCCAATTACTTTCAACTTCTGTTTTATCTTTTTACCGTACTGTGCTAAAGCAGACATTAGCGACTCTAAGAGTTTAAACAACACGCTCGCGTTTTTGTTGTCTTACACTGACTCAAGAGTTATTCAAACACGTTCACCATTATAAGCTGTTTAGAATGTTACATAACACAACTGACCACTAACCCCTGTATAATTTCACCTTTATCTCATCCGAACAGAGCCATCATCTCAACTGCCAGCTGCTGCACAGACATGGGAAAATATATCATCCACTGTTCCTTTCATTCTAATGCAATTTTGTCATTGTCGGGATTTTGAAGTCAACAATAAATGATTGCAGGTTTTGCAGGATGCATTCTGACCAGTTCCCAACAGTTTAGCAAGATACTCTGCGAGTGTATCACGTTATATGAGTATTTTAACATGTGTGTTATAGGTTTTTGTGAACGGTCTTCAAAGGCTAAAATCCCAAAGTTCCCTCCAGAGGGAGTTTCCGTCCCACACTCCTCCCTCCCTCCCCCTGCCTGAAACGCCTCATCACTATGTAACACTAGCGCTTCTATAGGCTAGCGCTCCAACACATGTATGTGATGTGATAGGCTAAGGGGTGGGGCATCTCTTAGCGGTTGACCAATCACAACAGAGCCGGCCAGCTAACCAATCACACTGGGCTCTGGTTTCAGACAGAGGGTGAAAAGAGGTACTGCAGCACAGGCAGCATGAGACAAATAAAGAGCTTTTTGAACATTAAAGCATGGAAACATGTCCTAGTAGAGACACAAAATACAAATATGAACCTGAACATTTGCATAAAAGGGCCCCTTTGATAGACAAACTAAATGTCCCTTAGGAAACAGACACTTAAAACACTTAACCAAAAGTCCATTATCACTATTGCCATGTGGTGCAAAAGTAAGATTCATTTTATTTTGACAGTTTTTTGACAACTTGCCCTTGCTTGCCTTGTCCAACACAGTTTCTGTCCCTCTCGTACTGATCTCCAGATGTCATTGCTATGGTGATGTTGATCATCCCCACAGTCATTTAGATCACCATGGTGACACTGATAAGAGTGCAGAATTACAGATGTGAGTTACAAGTGTAACAACCGAGAGAGATAAAAGGAAAAATAATGGGAAGAAAACATAAATATAATTACGTAATGACATGAACATAATAACTGGGGAAGCATTGCTAATAATTACTGTGCTCACACAGGACACACACACACACACACAGACACACACACACACCATCCTTCATCAGAGTGCCTAATGCATTAGACTCCCATAAATCATCATGCTTTTTCACCACTCAATCAGACACACGCACTCTGACACACACACACACACACACACACACACACACACACACACACACACACACACACACACACACACACACACACACACACACACACACACACACACACACAGGCAAGTAGCTATAAGCTCATCTGGTTCAGTCCGTTTCCATGGAAACAAGCTACTCTGCACCGAACCACCAACAACAAAAGGAGGAAATGAAGGGGAGAATAAAAGAAAATGAGAAAGGAGGACTACAAAAATAAGTATTCATAATAATAATAATTACAAAAATATTAATAATGCTGTGAATATATTCCATGAAGATTTTCACAACATTTAATTTTAAATGAATTTAGAAAAATACGGCACTGAGGGATTTTCTCAATAGCTCCTCATGTCCAGGTGGAGTTGCGGTGCAGCATCAGCATGAAGGAGATTTGTTTATTTGTCTGATGTTTATTTCCATAAGCCTATTACACCCCTTCACCTCTCCTCTTTCTATCTCTCTATCACAGTTTGGACTTTTCCCGACCTTTAAATGTTTCATCTCCCGCTGTCTTTCCCTCTCTCACCTTCTTACTCTTCTCTCCTCGCTCCCTCTCTAAGTCTCTCCCTCCATGTCTGGTTCATAACTCACTTATCTTTTCTTTCCTCTTTATTTTATTTATGTTTTGCATTTAAAACCGACACAGGTGAAGATCCTACCCCTACCCTTGTTGTTTTATCGCCCTCTAAAAACCAATAACAGTAAGGATGGTGGTATTTATTTGAAGATAGAGAGAGAAAAAAAACAATAGCAGTAAGTAAAATATAATAATATATAGTAAAGGTTGAAAAGAATGCTAACCCTCTTTAAGGTCAGTTTATCAGGGGCAAACACTATGAATGGCTCTTAACTCACTGATCGATAGGCCTGTTCCACAATGGAACCACTGATTCTGGCAGGACGTTGAACGGATGTCAGGACTATTGGATCGGGCTTTTAGCTGAGCAGCGTTCAGGCGAACTGCGAGGCTTGATGGAAAGAGATTGAATTTAATTTTGGCTAGGCTTTTGAGAGGGGAGCTCAAGACAATGAATATCACACCTTGTGTCATTTGCATGAGCTATTCTTGCATTATCAGCAAAGTAGAAGCTGTGAAAAAACTAATGTTGTGGTATAAAAATAGACTTTAGTTCAAACGTGATTGCGCTCTTTTTCAGACTATGGATGGGGAAGTAATGCTAAAATAAAGATATTCTTACATCACAAATATGGGCATGATAATGGAGCTTTATACCTGAGTTTTGATTATTTTGAAATAGCAATTGGAATTATATACAGTTGCAGTTAGTAAGAAAAACTAACTACATGTTTTGTAACTTTCTATTCCTTATATTGCGAGACAGAGCCATCCCAATTTATTTTAATAGCCCTTTTCCACAAGAGACAGTTTGACTTGTTATAGCAGGAAGAGCCTAGGTGTTACTAATACAATGAACGACAGCTCTGTTCTATTCTAGGGTCCCAGGAAGTCATGACAGTGTGACAGGACACCAGGACTGACAAAAAGCTGCCTTCACTGTCAGTCGGACCTGTGAACATTCTCTGGCTTGCTTCGACTCTAACAGTACAGAACGTGCTGCAAAATAACACATAGCAGCAGACAATGGTAATTAGATACCTGAACCATAAAAAATGCTGAGTCAATTTGTCTAAAATTGCCAAACGGATGATCGTTAGCCAGAGAAATGTCTGAGTTGCCTTCAGGTACAAATTGCATCATCAGTTTCACCGCTTAATTGAGGAAAGAAAGAAAAAAGATTTTCTGGACTTAAATTTCAAGCCCCTTAAAAAACACCTATTCTCACAGTTACAAAAAGTGGAATTTTCATTATGTAAAAGCACACACACTCAGAGTGTGACCAGAGCCTGGTTCTAATGTTTCCGAGCCTGCGGGTCTACAGTTACACTGCAGATCAGATAACAGGTTGACTTCCATGTTATCTGATAACATATTGAACAGCTTCTGGCTCTGCTTTTACAGCCGCAGCAAAAAGGTAACATCTCCCTATACTGCACAGTTATCACATTGTTCAATCTATACAGGTGAAATGCTAATGATACTGAGAAAATAGTCAAACAAAACGATGACTAATGCATAGAAAGATGGATACATTTTTATAGACAAAAAAAGACAAAGCATCCTATGACTGGGGGATGGAGGGAACTGATGAGGACAGAAGGGGGAAGAGGAAGAGATGGAGAAGGACAGAGAGAGAAGTTGGAGAGACAGATAACAACAGTGATGGCAGTGATAAAAAAGAGAGGGAAAGAGAGAGATGTTGTCATTCCTCTGTCATGGATGAGGAGGCACAGCAGTGTAAACTCGCCTACTTCAAATCCGATCTGCTCTGCAGTTCAACCAACCGATACACAGCAGGGGGAGAAATGTCTTTGTAAGAGGAAAATGGACAATACTGAGGTAGAGTTAGGAAAAATAATTCTGAAACTCATGATTTCGAAACGCTATGAGCTCTGCAAGGTTAAGAGACTGCAAACAGGGAGCAAATGAGAACTAAATACTTTGAATATACCTGGTGTATTTTCTGATTCTTGAGTTAAAATCAAGATGTCGTCAAAGATACGGGATTTATTGTCGTGCCTAATGTTAGTTTAACATAACATATCAGGTATGGAATTAATCTGCTGATACTGCAGGTCAAATATTTCTTTAATGATTTCACTTTTTGAACCATGATAAAGGCCGACATATTGTTGTTTTTAGCATAGCATATTGCCGGAAATGACTTTAGAGTAAAAGCATATAACAAAACAGCTGTTATTTTCAGAAAATGACATCAATGTACTGCCTTTCAAATGAGGAAAAGTCACTTATGTGATGATACAAGTTCAAAAAGCTAGGACAATATCTAGTCATGTATCACAATCTTGGTATTATATCAATATATTGCCCAGCTGTGGATTAGGGGCAAAAGTATTCAGTGGTGACAGCTAGAAATAGATGCTTAGAATTAAAAATAGTGTCCTGTCGCCTTGAGATGAAGCAATTCACTGATATATTTAAAAATAAATCTGCTGGATTGAGATTTGACTGCCTTGGCGACGGACTACGACTACATACAGTAGGTTTTCACAGTGTGCAGATATGGTTTTAACAGCCTAGTCAGGGCGCGGCCCGGCACACAGGTTAACTGACAATAGATGAGATTGCTCTCTGAGGAAGTGAGAGAGCGGGAGAGGAAGCAGCCCCAAAATCAGATATGCTCTCAGGGATCAGACTCTCCCGATGCAAGCAGGCGTTAAATCCTCAGAGCGCTCTGAGTGTACGTGTCCGACTGATATTTTGAGTTGTTCTTTCCTTTAGTTGCAAGGGAAGTTTCAAAATCTAAGTTCAAAAATACTATTAACGAATACTAATGTATACCTTTTTTCTCAATATTTGTAATTGTACCTAACAGAAAATACAGTATAGTCTTGTTTTAATTGCATGCTAACTCCAACTTCCAAAGCATTTATCTTC